GCATGAGCTACACTGGGCCTTTATATAAATTGGTTGTGGTATCCAGAAATCACCTTCTATGTCTATCATCCTTTAATTTTTAAAAGTTAATGAAATTCAGAGTTGTGCAGATGACATTTATTTATTTATTAAAATTTATAGACCGCCCTACTCCCGCAAACTCCAGGCGGTTAACAATAAAAACACAACATTACATAACAAAACAAACAATACAATAACATTCATCCAGGGGTCAGATTTTATAAACCCCAGGCCTGCCAGAAAAGCCAGGCCTTAAGCAGCTTGCGGAAAACCAACAGGGTGGGAGCGGTCCTAATCTCTGGGGGGAGCTGATTCCAAGACGTGGGCACCATCACAGAGAAAGCCCTCCCCCACGGCCCCGCCAAATGGCACTGCTTGGCCGACGGGACCTGAAGGAGGCCCAGCCTGTGGGATCTAACCGGACGAAGGGAACTATGAGGTAGTAGGCAGTCTCGCAAATAATCTGGCCCTGAGCCATATAGAGCTTTAAAGGTAATAACCAACACCTTGAATTGGACCCGGAGACCAATAGGCAGCCAGTGCAGCTCACGGAGATAGGTGTAACGTGGGTGTACTGAGGAGCACCCACTATCACTCGCGCGGCTGCATTCTGGACCAACTGTAGTCTCCAAATACTTTTCAAGGGTAGCCCCATGTAGAGCACGTTGCAGTTGTCCAGACGTGAAGTGACAAGGGCATGAGTGACTGTAAGGAGACCCTCCCGGTCCAGGTAGGGTCGTAACTGGTGCAACAGACGAACTTGTGCAAAGGTCCTCCCAGCCACAGCCATCAAATGATGTTCCAATTTCAGCTGTGGATCAAGGAGGACACCCAAGTTGCGAACCCGCTCCGAAGGGGGTATATTTTCCCCTGCTAGAGTCAACACTGGACAGTTAACATGATCCTTGGGAGGCAACATCCAAAGCCACTCAGTCTTGTCGGGATTGAGCCTGAGTCTGTTAACCCCCATCCAGACCCTCACGGCTTCAAGGCAACGGCCCATCACATCAGCCACTTCACTGAGAGAGCTCGGGGAAGAGATAAATAGCTGGGTATCATCAGCATACTGATGAAACCTCACCCCGTGCTGTCTGATGATCTCATCCAGCGGCTTCATGTAAATGTTAAATAGGAGGGGGGAGAGGACCGACCCCTGCAGCACCCCACATTCAAGGGGCCTCGGGGTTGACCTCTGCCCCCCCACCAGTACCGATTGCTACCGGCCAGAGAGGTAGGAGGAGAACCACCATAAAATGGTGCTTCCCACTCCCACCCCTCCAAGTCGTTGCAAAAGGATACCATGATCAATGGTATCAAAAGCTGCTGAGAGGTCAAGTAGCACCAAGACAGAGGAATAACTCCTGTCTCGGGCCCGCCAGAGATCATCCATCAGCGCGACCAAAGCAGTTTCTGTGCTGAAGCCGGGCCTGAAGCCAGATTGAAAAGGGTCTAGGTAATCCGCTTCATCCAGAGACCGTCAGAGCTGGAGCGCCACCACTCTCTCTACAACCTTCCCCCAAAAGGGGAGATTGGAGACTGGGCGGAAGTTATTTAAATCAGCCGGGTCCAGGCTAGGCTTCTTGAGAAGGGGCCTCACAACCGCTTCCTTCAAGGGTTGCGGGAAAGACCCCTCCCTCAACGAAGCATTGATCAACACCTGGAGCCAGCCTCGTGTCACCTCCTTGGCGGCCGAGACCAACCAGGAAGGACATGGGTCCAATAAACAAGTGGAGGTGCTCATCGCTCCCATCGCTCTGTCAACATCCTCAGCAGTCACAGACTCAAATTCATCCCATAAAACTGGGCTAAGACCTGCCCCGGTCATCTCAGAAGGCCCTGCCCAATCGGAGTCTAGGTCTGTCCGAATCCGAGCGATTTTGTCTGACAGAAACTGCACAAATTCTTCCGCCCTACCCTGTAAGGGCTCCCCGGCTCCCTGAATGTTAAGTATTTATGATAGTTTATGATAGTAACTATTTATGATAGTTGCAACATGATGTGGTCATGTGGATTGCAATTTGTGACCTTCCTTACCAGCTTCCCACAAACAAACGTGGTAGGGAAGCCAACAGAGAAGATCACAAGCTGCTCTGGTAAGTCTCCCCCACCTGGCACCCTCCTTGAGTCTCGTGCTTGTATCATGCCAAGCTGGTGACTTGTGCATCCTCTCCAGCTGCAGTCACTTACTGGCCTACTTGCAAGTCCTCTGGGACTTTGACTTTGGTTGTCAGAAGCTGGCAGGAAATAGCAAGGAAGTGCTTGCCTGATGACACACAGTCCTCATTTAACCACAGCAACAGAAATGCAGGGATTGCTGTTGCTACGCAATGCAGTCAAGGACATTGTGCTTTATGCCCCCATCATTTAGCAACGGAAATTCTGGTCCCATTTCCTGTAGTAATTCAAAAACTATCTGCATCTCTTTCTCTAGTCAAAAATTGCCAAATATTCACACTCTTATTCCCAGAATTTCATATCATTCTGTTTTTTTCCCCAATTTCCCCCAAATACAGTTAGTCCTCCTTAATGACTAAATTTGGGATCAGCAAATCTATCATTATTAAATGGGACATCATGCAACTTCAATGCCTTATGATCTATTTTTTTTCTGTGGTTGTTAGGTTATTAAGTTAAACAAATCACTGTGGTTATTAATCAAGAAATCAGATGAACACAACTTGCAATTTTACAGCTGGCTTCTCCATTGAGTCTACTTGTTGGAAGTCATCTCTGAAGTGTGCAAATAATAATCATGTGACTTTGGCACTCTACAATGGTTGTAAGCACCATCAGTTGCGAACTGCCCAGATCTTGGATGCACGAATGGTGCAATGGATGCTGCAAGGACCAGTTGTAAAGTTATTTTTCAGGACTTCAAATAATTGCTTCATAGGGCATTTGTTAAACAGAAACTATCTGTATACTATATTCATTTGAATTCTTATAAGATTCAAGGGGAAAAAAAACATGAGATTTATCAGGTGATGATGGGGAGGTGAAATCCTATTCTCATCTTTTAATATATCATAGGCAGTTGTGAGTTGACTCTTATCCAAGCTGATTGTAAAAGCAGGATTTGAAAGTTGAGTAGTGAACTCATTGGTTAACCAAGATGGTTGAATGAAACTTTCGTGCAAAAAGATGTGTACTGTACGAAGATCAGAGTCACACGCAATCTAAACTAGCTGAAGAAGCTATGCTTGGCTCCACTAAAATATTGAGTTGAGCTCTAAGCCAAATGCAGGGTTTGGCTATTTCTTTCTGCATTGTGGATAGAATTATTACTTACATCAGTAAGAGAGGCTTTTTGAAGGCGATCCCACTGCAAGATGTTTAGTTACCTGATACTCAAGAGAAAGTCTTATCCTGTTGAGCTCTCAGTTGTTGAATGCTTTCCTCAGGGAGGAGAGCTAGTCTTACCAAGTTTTTAACTGTGGCTTGATTTAATTGGATTGATTTCATTATGCTGTTTTAAAATTTGACTTTAATTTTTATTTTAAGCCAACTTGAATATTCCTATCAAGAGAAGGGAATAGCTTAACAAACAAACAAGTAACAAGCAAGACATTAATAATTTGTTCTGCTTGGCGTTGGGTATTGTATCCTGCAAATAGTAAGTCAGAATTAACTGGAACCTATTTAGCAGCATAGAATTCAGGCCCATCAGGACTAAAAGCTAGGGATTTTTTGGGGTGGGGGGAGGGACTGCTATACCCTAACTAGTAAGAAGGGAATATTTTCTCTCACTATTCTGCTATTACTATTTTATTCAGGCTTGTTTGGGATTCCAGAAGCAGGAAGGATGTACCTGAGAAATCAGAGCTGTGCATTTTGCTAATCTTTGGGGCTTTGAGGTCTCCAGATTTTTCCCACTCCAGAGGTAAAACAGGTGGAGACACCTTTTTTCCAGGCTCCTGAAGTTTGAAGAGCTTGGAGCTGTGTGCTCTTTTGACTCTCACTTATACTCCCTGAGCCTGTGAAACCAGGGCAATCTACAATTAATCAGGGCAACATGCAATTTCTGATTGTCCTCATGCCATCTTTGCCATAGGTTAAGGTGTGATTTTAACCAGGGCAAGATTCATTTTGCTTTGTTCCATCACGATCCATTTTCTCTACTGTACAGGCACACAGCATCGACTCTTGGGACTGCAGCTACCCCAGTGGTTCCTTGTTCCTAGTTCATCCTCAGGCTGGAGCATGACACAACTGAAAAACCATAATGAAAGGCATATCTGAGGAAAAGCTGCCCTATGGGATTCTTTCTCCTTCCCTCCCTTCAAAGTTTTTATATCACTCCCTCATATAGATTCTGGGCACTTGACAAAATAAAAACATTGAGCATGAAATGTACTCCAAACCACAGCTCTTAGCCCTCAGAACAAAACCACAGATGGTTCCCAATGACCCTCAGTAAACAAATCCTGCTGAGAATGCCATTCTTCAGTGCCTTTTCAATGCCAGGAGCAGTCACTTCTGGGGGCCACATATTGTACATCAGGGAGGCCACTGCTATAGAGACCATCTTCTTGCCCACATATCTCACAACAGAACAGGAGCCAAAGGAGTCTTTCTTTAGTTGACCTCACAGGACAGGCAGAATAATTTTGAGCAAGTAAGGTAGTTCCTAATAAGTATTAATTCAATATTCTTCTCTTTAATATCAGATGTTCTGGGTATTATGGTTGTGAATTTAAATTAAATGATGGGGCATTCTGTATTTTTATAAAGGCATTTGTGTCTTTTGTCCTATATATGTGATGATTGCAATAAATTAATTTCTCACTGTATGCACATGAAAGGATAGAAAGGAGAGGAGAATTAAGTTTAAGAGGAAATATGTGTGATCACAGTTGGTTGCATAAACAGTTACAGAACAACTCTGTCACACTTAGGGCGCAATGTGCTTATTTGATATCACTGCAAATGAAGGCAAAAGTCAAAGAAGGCTCTGCCTTAATTTGTTTTTGTCCTTTTAGGTTATCCATCTGGCCCAAGTGAGTTTCCTCATCCCTGCCTTTGGTTTAACCTTCACTTTGGACCTTGAACTGAACCAGTAAGTATTTACTGCCAAAATGATTGTTCTTGTGATTCAAATGTAAGATTCCATTTTGATTGGATGATAAAGGAAGGGGAAAGAGTGGTTGGTTGGAGCCTCTCTGATAATTGGAGACAAAAAATATATTCAGCAAAATTATATATAGAACTCTAAATCTTGAGGAAATAGAAAATTACAAAGAATAAATAAGGAAGTAGTAAAAGATGTCCACATTTTAAAAAGAAATAAATCTTGTCCATAGAAAGTTATTTCAATACTAAACTAGGATTCTTCTTTATGATAAACTGCTTTTTACAGTACAATAGAGAATATTTCAGTGTATATTTTCAACATACACCATAAAATGCTTTCATGTAAAAGGATTAAGAATATTGAACAGCAGAATTGTAAAAAACTTGAAATGTTAGAGATTTGCTATCAGAATATAATAAATAATGCTGGCTAGCTAGTATATGTTAGTTTATATGTGATAGCAGGACTTATAGTGGCCAGAGCCCCAGATTGCTTAGAGTCACATAGGAAATCTTGTCATTCTGTAAGGTGCATTTGTTCATTACCATAATGGTCTCAACATCTTTTTTTTTTTAAAAAAAAATGAATTCTGATCACAGAGAAAATAGACTCTTAGGAACTCTGTTATGGAAAACTGAGTAACTGGGTTAATACACCATGCTAAACCCTAAATATTTTGTTAGGGTCAGGTTTCAAATATAGGTGGTCCCAGCTGTTGTGATTTATAAATCATGGATTATAGCATAAGCCATTGTGGCATGTTTAGTAAATTGTTATCAAATTGTCCATTCCACATGTCCAGTGTAACAACCAATTAAGTAAGATAACAAAAAATATACTGTCAGCAATTTTCATCAAATTGAAATAGTAAACAATTATTGTAAAAGCTGCAGGTTATGTATGTTTTTATAGTTTAATCTGATCCATTTGTTTATTTTGCTGTGGGTTTTTTTTAATTCTGTAAGCCAAGGAGAATCACCTGTGAGATTCACTATATCTAATGTCTATTAAAAAGTGACAGCCAATTTATAATGGATAAGTTCATCAATGAGTCTTAGTTCTAATAGCAAAATATTCAGGAGAAGTATATCTCTGCTGGGGCAAATTCTGGGGCAAATTGCAAGAAATTCTTGTGAACCTGTCCTTCCCCAAATGTATAAACAGTAAATTGAATTAGCTGGATCTAATCATACAAAATATGTTTCATTCAAATAATTCTTCAGGCATATAAATAAGCAGAAATGGATAAATTAACCTCTTTGATTACCCAAAAAATACCTATATTAATGACTGTCTGGAAACCCCTTAGAGACTTTTTGCATGAAACAGAAAAAATGCATTCATGATTTGTGGTTTTGATGATTAGAAAGAACTGGATAATAGAAAAACATTAGCTTTTTTGGAATCATAGAGTAAGAGAATATTGTTACTATATTTATATCAGCTGCAGAGGAAATTGGATGCTTCTTTCTATTTCTTTTGGTTTTCTCTTTATGCACATTTTCCTCTTTTTAATTCTTTTTCTTTCTGCTTCTTTTACTCTTTATTAGTTTGTGTTAGCTTTTAAGTTCTTTGCAAAACTTTTAATGATAGATACATGATAGAGAAATGGACAGACAGACAGACAGATAGATATAGATAGATAGATAATGGAACAATAGTTATTTGGGTAATTTTTTGAATATTTTAATCCCATGATACCTTAAAGAGGAATTAATGTATTAAGGTATAAATTTTCATCAGCTGTGAGATATTATGTCAAGTAGCAGATTTACATATATAAGAGTAGACAAAATAATAGAAAAATGTAATCTCCTTTTCAGGCAGGAGATAGTCTGTAATTATCTACAAATATGTTAAATTATTACAGACTCTATCTCATAGTGACCATTTAGAGTGCAATAATTTGTTTTAATTTGTTAATAAACAATAATGAGATTGAATGACATTGTTATCTCAGTTCAAATATTTGTTTTAAAAAACTGCATATGGAAGAAGCAGTGTTAACTTAGATTATACATCATGTTCTTCTCTCCCAAAAAAAGAGACCAAGATCTCATGAATGGATTGCAGTATGGGAGATGTGAAATTTTCAACATGGGAGTTCTTGTATATATCAATCTCTCCCAATGTGGTGTCTTCCAGTGTGTAGATTTCCAACACTCTTAATTCTCAAATATCTTGTGGGCATATTGGGTGGGAGTTATTAGAACTGAAATTTAGGGCTACTCTATTGGCAAAAGCTAAGGTAGTAATAGGCAAATTCACAAGCATGTATGTGGGTGCGTACTTTTTCTTTACATATGGTTGTGACAGAGTGTGACAGGATAGGAGTTATAGTGTGTTGATTTTGTATTTCTGATGGCAAGCCAAAATATGTGCAGCAAATGTGTAAGGAGATGTGCTTGTCTTCCTGTTTGTTTATGTAGGTGGGTATGCCTATGTTTACGTGATAAGACTAAATGCTTGTTATGAGTGGAAAAGGCCACTGCAGTCATACCAGCTCTATCCCATCTGCTTTTATTAAACAATTATGAACATAGCTAAAAAAATGAAAATGGAGATTTTAGTTCCAGGCAATGTTCTATATGTATTGATTATGCTGGTCTATGGCTGTAATAGAGAATTGTTTTAATTTATATATATTGATAATTGTGCTAATTAAAATATTGAGATATGGAAGGGGCAACACTGAGTTTAATTTCTAAAAAGGAGTTTCGGTACTAAAGTATGTATCTCCTGCATATGCCTTGCTCTTTGTCTCTGATGAATTCAGAGACATTATAATTATATAACGATGAGAGAAAGTCACTCTGTACTTGCTTAGTGACATTACACTTATTATTTATAACTTCCAGAGCTGTCTTGTCAATGAAAAACAGTTTTATTGTTTATGCTGTAGTCAAATTTCAGTTCCCTCTATCTCAGAAACTATTTTACAGTATTCCATTAGTAATTGTCAGAGGTTTTTTTTAATATGTGGTTGCAGGTGCACACATGTGAAACAATGCAAGCAAATGATTGACTATGACACCATATTTGGCATAAATTTGCTCATTTTGGGCATGTGATTATAGTCATAATTAATTCCACTCAGTTCCCAGTGTTTGTACATTTATTATTACTAGTTTAAATTTACTAACTAACTTCAGGGGGCTCCTGAAAGTATGATTATGTGCATAATGTATATCAATATATGAGCTTCTATGTACATATTGCAAGTTTAAATAGAACATAAATAAGGTGTGGCTATGAGAAACCAGAGTTTTTTTTCACGCAGTGATTTATTATTATTATATGAATCATACAATATTGTAAAGATATTTGGCTTTTTTCATACTAGCTCCTAAATTATGTGTAAATATATATCTGGGGTGAATATAGTTTGAAGCACTATGTCTGAAAGGTATGATTAGGTGAGTGCCTTTGAATATTTAATAAGGCATCTGGAAACATTTCTGCTCTATCCTGAAAATAAATTAAGTTGAGGTTAGGCACTAGATCACTGTAAGATGAGGTTGCTGATGATGAGTTTTAGTCTGTAACTAGATATGATGTGGTAAATGAGCAGGTTAGGTAACTGAGTTTCACCCTTAGACTGTGCCTGCTTTTACCCAGGAGTCCAGATGTCCTGAAAAATGACCTGAGCAAAGCTCAGTGTTCATTTTCAGTGTTGGAATTTGCCTGGGTACCACAGAACTGAAGAGAAGTATGCAGAGGTATTTGCCAGGGACTAACAGCTGCTGGGTTACATTGAGCCTTTCCTCCCCTTTTCTAGGGAGTTTGAAGACCCTTTTTATGAGTGTACAGCTCTTCCAAATACAATAGTTAAAAAGCTTGAACAAGTCTAGGATAAATAATTATAGTGCATCTGGGAAGAATGTTTCTAGAATGCTGCGAATGGATGGATTTCAATCATGAGATCCACATATCTGTATTGAGGAAAGGCAAGCTTTGCTATTTCCCAATCTAGATTGACCAAGCAATGAATCCTGGTTGTTGGCATCCATTGCTTTTTCACCCAAGGAATCTTCTGTGGCAAGTCTTTGCAGAGAAGGTCTGTCTTCAGAAACTAAGCTACGAGATCCTAGAAGTAACACAATGTAGGAATCATTTGGACTAGTAGTTCTCAACCTTTTTAATGCCGCGACCCCCAACCGGTCGTAAGTCGAGGACTAAACAGGTCATAAGTCGAGGACTAAACTGGTCATAAGTCGAGGACTAACCAACTGGGAGTGCCGTGCATGTGTGGTGCCGCCCCCTGCGCCGGCTGAGGTGTAGCTGGCAAGCGGCAGAGACGGAGCAGGCCGACCACCGGCTGGGCCACCAGCTGACCCAGCCCAAGGGAGGTAAGGCACCCACCGGAAAAGGGGAAAAAAAATGGCAGACAGCCTTGCTTGGCGACCCCCATGAAATGGTCGATCGACCCCAAATGGGGTCGCGACCCATAGGTTGAGAACCGCTGATTTAGACCAACAGCAAGAGTTTGTTCATGCACATCCAGAGAGCTCACAATGTAGCACATTCTTTGTATGATAAAGCCCCCAACACAATAGTCATTCAAGAAATTTCTCATCACATGAACCCATACAACTGACATGACTGTCAACTAGAGGGTAGTTTAGAGCAGTCATACTAAGCAAAGGAGAGTGAGTAAACAGGGATAGGATCAGTCACACAGAAGAAATGACAAAGGTTTTGGTGTCCTCAATCCTGTTAATTTTATAAGAATGGATTAGGAAAACAGGAGAATATGAAGCAGATTTGATGTCAAACATGGATGAAAGTGTTTATATAACTTTCAATATTTTTTTTCTCCCATCAGCCATCTGCTGTCCTTAAATTATGTAGAACGTCATTTTGAACATGATGGAAATGCCAGCCACACCATGGTAAGGAAACTAAAGATCTATATCTATATTGTTTGACTTAATATTTAAATAAGTGTAGAGCGCATCAGGAGAGAGAGAGATTGAGAGATTGATTGAATGATTGAGAGAGAACCTTGTCACAAGACCTTGACCTGTATTTATTTCAGGCTAATTCTCTGATCTGTTAAACATGAAAAAACTAGCTGGGTGGGGCAGCGGGAAGATTGTGGATGGGAGGAATGCTGGTTGTATTTTGCAGCTGCCAGAGCAAAGATGTAGATTGGAGATGCTGAGTCTGAAAAAGAATGAATGGATGATCCAGAAATAGCCCTGTTCTCCCTACAAAAGGAAGCCTCATAAGTAGAGCATCAATAATACTAAGTGCTTGCTAAGTGGTTGGTCACACACAGCCTCCCAAGCAGCTGCAGCCAATCCTCGAGTCCATCCATTTTATTTCCCTGCTTTGCCAGGAGCGATGGCTTTCCCCATTCTTCTCTGAGCTAACCTGAACCATGCTGTTTTCTATAAATAGACACGAGAGGGAGGTGGCTGCTTGCTCATGCCTATCATTCTGCAACAACCTTGAACACAATAGGCAGTGCAGGGACACTTGTGAATTGTTTCACAGAAAGACATAAGCAGGCGAAAGAAGGTCAGCAGACAGGCATGCCTCTACACAGAGGGTATAGCTAGGTATTGATGTGCCAATGTCATTTCAAGTATTGTTTAGTGTTCGTTGCTGTTATTGTTCAAGTGCAGGATTATCCACACCGACTTTACATTTTAAATGCCATGCTTCTTTGAGCTGTACATTCCAAATCACCAAGTTATTCCTGAAAGATAACACTCGGCCCTCTGTCACTCTCCAACTATGTTGAACTATTGTTCCTATTAAAATTAAGTAATGCTGAGTATGATAGCAGTCATAGTCCAACATACCTGGAGGGTACTGAATGGTAGAAAGCTAGAACATCTGGAATCCATATTTGGAGAGTGGAAAGTGGTGGAAAGTCTTATGAGAGTCTGTCTGTGTGCATACATTCTGATTTATTCTCTGGTCATCTCTTGCCTTGGTTTCTTTAATTTTCTCCTTTCAGCTTTTTCACCATAATTTCAGAAGACTAGCTAATTTCCTTAGTCCTCTGCCTGAGGTCTGTGTAGTTTGTACCTCTACATATGATAATCCTTTCTTCTGTTATCTCCGCAAAAGCTGAAATATCAAGATCTGAATTATCCAGGACGGGGGAAAACAGTTCACATTCATTTGAGATGGTCATGCAATCCACACATATAGAGAACATGTGAAAATGTTTTCTTTAATGGATGTCAGGATCAGATTTTATGATACTTTAGAGGCCATGAACATAAGAAAGGTGTTCAAGGAATTTGAAGTGATCGTTCAACAGCATACCTGACTGAGCAGACATTATGATAACCTGATCATAGTTTTTTCTGCTATGATGAGAAGTAGTATGCTTTCAAGTTTGTATTAAATGTGCAAATTATCATATGCGAATTTTAGGCAACTTTGAAAATTTTGTTCTCTTTTTGGTTTTACAAAGATATGTAAGTATAACTGTGTAAAATACAACAAAGAAATCGAATTTCAAGACTCTTCTTCAACTTTACCTTGCTGTTTTGTTGTCACTTTTTCCATGCCTGTTTACTTTTTATATTAGAGCAGTAGTAGTATTTATTTATTTGGTTAATGATTAACTAATTTAAAATAGCAATTACAAAATGAAACAAATTAAATTTAATTTGAAGTTTATTTAGCATATACTAAAACAGGGCTTTTTAACCAGTGATACGGGTATCACCTGTGATACATTGGCACCTGGCAGGTGGTACATGACTATCCTAGAAAAGTGGTAGCGGGAGACGGGAATGAGCTGAACCGGTGGCAGCACTGCACAAGCCTGAGCGAGAGATGGCTGGAATTGCAGGGCTGTCAGGGCTCAGCAGAAACGCCAGGATCAGTGCCGCTTTCCAGCTGATTGGCACTTCTTCGGGGCTGTCAGGGCTCTGTGGAAGTGCCAGGATCAGCGCCAGGCTCCAGATGGAACTCAGCGCTGATCCTGGCACTTGTGCTGAAACCAGAAGAAGCGCCGATCAGCTGGAATGTTGCAGCATCTCCAGGGTCTTGTGATTTACATTCAGATGCTTGGCAACTGATTCATATTTATGATGGTTACAGTGTCCCAGGATCATGTGAAGTGATCAAAACCTGCTGCAACCATCCAGCAGACAGGGGGAATAAAAACCAAACACCCCCCACCCCACCCCCACTGCCAATCCTCAACAGAAATGCTCACAACAATGAAAACCTCGGACAGGAGGAAGAGCCGCGGCCAGGCGGGCAGGCAGGTGTCTTGCTTGGCTGTGGCTTGGGGGGCACTTTTTTCAGTGCCATTGTAACCTAGAACAGTCACTAAGCGAACTGTTGTAAGTCGAGGACTACCTGTACTTTATCACTTCCCCCCCCCTTTTTTTTTTGGTCATCAAGTTTTTGACACCTTGCTAGGCGACTGGTGGTACTCGGATGTTGCCATAGCCTAAAAGTGGTACAATGGGTGAAAAGGTTGAAAAGCCCTGTACTAAAAGACAAACCACACATTACATCTACACTTCTACTGCTGTAATAATGTTACATCCAAATAATGATAATTTAATTTTTTAAAAAACAATTTCTTTTAATTATGTTAGAGCAAGTTCTGAAAAAAAAGCTATCTAAAATAGTAGCATGCAAAAAAGCAAAGGGTGTGATCTTTTAAAAATAATTTTAAAAAACTAAACCTAATGCCAGAAAAATACAACTGAACACTCACACAACTCTGATATAACAAAATGTAAGTCAATACATTTGTTTACTTTATCCCCAGGAGGAGCCATTATCCAATAGCAAAGCGTACCCATTTGCATTTGGAAGGCCTCAAGTTCAGTTTATTGCTTATTTTCATAGTAATTTTATTAAAAATTATAGTAACAGAAAAACTGCAAACTAAAAAAGGAAAAAAAATTAGATACAAAAAAATAGAAAAACAGAAAAGAAAAAAATAAGAATATATTAAAGAAAAAAATATATAGAAGGGAATGACTTCCTTCTTTATCACAAGCATAAACAATTTTAATAACTTATTAAAGGTAAAGGTAAAGATTTCTCCTGTCCCAGTCAGATCTGATTATTGGGGGGGGGGCAGTGCTTATCTCTGTTTCTTAGCTGAGGGAACCAGTGTTATCTTAAAAGATTTCTGTGATCATGACTATATACTGAGGCGCACAGAACGCTGTTACCTTCCCAACAAAGTGGTATCTATTTATCTACTTGCATTTGCATGCTTTCAAACTGATAGATGGGCAGGAGCTGGGGCAAATAATGGGAGTCACCTGTCATGCAGGACTCAGGTCTCGAACCCAGGTCGTATACGTCTAGCACCCCCAATAACTTTTATTTCTATCTTTCTGATGTTTAGTCACTTCAAATAGTGCCCTAGAAGTTTATTTCTTTTCATTTTTTTCTTTGTTCTCTCTCATAAAATTTTTCAAACCTTCATAAAATATTTATCTTGCTTACTCTCTTGGTTTGTTATTTGTATATCCCTTTTAATTATGAAGACATCAACTAGTTTCTTTTATATGTCCATGTAACATCTTTTTTCCATTCATTCTTATAGCCTGTTATTTTTAAACCCACTTTCAAATTGATCTCAGTATTGTCTGATAAAACTTGTTCCTCTTCTATAACATCTTGTAAATAAAGTCTATTTATAGAGGCAGTCATTGTTAAATTAACTTCTGGGTCCATTGTTTAAAAATATCCTTCAAAATGTCCAATGTTAAAATATTTTGCTCTATTCTACTGTATTTGTAAGTCAAATTTAAGTATTCTTCTCCTTTAATTGTAATCTTATTTGCTTCTAGTTTGTTTAGTGCCTATTTTTTAAAATCTTACGTTTAAAAAATAAAATAAAAACAAAAATATTTTCCTAGGGGAATTTTTTTTAATAATTAATTCCAAACTCTTATTTCAAATTTATCTGGACTCTTAGTTCATTTGTAAGTTTCTAAATAATGCTTTGGCTCCTTGTTTCCTATAGTTTTTAAGTCCTTAAACTTGTAATTAAACTTCTTTCTTTATTTTTTCTCAAAAAAATGTTCCCATTTTTCCTGCTCTGTCGGATACTCTGTTTCTCTCATCCTCCAATAAACTGACTACACATACTTTCTTCTACCCATCTTTTGAATGAGTGATAATATCAACGACTATTTTCTACAGACTCCCTTCTTGTTTCTGGAGTAGCATAAAGAATCTGAATGATAGTGCTGTGGTAGGGAAGGTTTGATTTATCCTTGCTGGTTGATTGCTTATTTTTGCTTCTTGTATTGAAGAACAAGCCAATTTGCATTAGAAGAATTTAAGCAGATAAAAGAAAACATGATGTTTTTACATCTCTTTTAGGGAACAAGTGAGCACTGTTACTATCAAGGCAATCTCCGTGGAGAAGCAAACTCTTTTGTGGCTTTATCTACCTGCCATGGCCTACAGTGAGTAAGGAACTGTGAAATAGGAAAAGGAAACATGGCAAAGAAAGCCAGGTTTCCATCAAGGCAAAGTCACTGTGGTTGTGTTGTATTTTTTTTAATTGGCTGTGTCGATATCCTTTATAGATGAAGAATTAATTTAGACATTTAAAAATAATAATTCTGATCATAAATATTTTTAAAATAATAATTCTGATCAATCAGAAACTAGATTAAAGTTGCTACTCCATTGCTGAGTGGGTTTGGGGATGCTGTAACTGGTTTCTGTGACATTGAAGGCCAGTTTAGCACCTGGTAATCATATTTCCTAATAATTCTTAAGGGGTTGTAATCTGCACATAGACATTTCTTGGTCCATATTCTGTTTTATTTTCTTGAGTGAGAGTAAGAAATGTCTATTATGATTGCTTCATGGAAATGCTTAACATGCAACTGTTTAGAAACCTGTAACTTTGTCCTAAGGAAGTTACTGATGTCTGCCTGAATATTGTTTCTTAATTTTTTCCTCCTAATGTAAATATAGTTGCTTTAGTGTTTTATGTAACCTCTTCGTATTTCTTTGCACTTCTTCAGTGGTGTTTTCTCTGATGGAAAAGATGCGTACCTCCTGAAGCCTCATGATTCACTTGAACATCAAGCGGTAAGGAAAGCCTGGCCCGGGCTGTAATTCCATCACTGCCATGGAGATACCTCACTTGTGTTTCATCCCCAGAGGTGAAAGGAAGTTCGTATTGGCTTCCTTCCCTCCTGTAAACTTCTGTAGATATTGGGAGTCTGTTCTAAGACAGGATCAGTGTCAAAGTGAGGTGTCCGGGCAAAATTACTGGCACTGAATTGCAGAGGCCTGGATTCAAATTTCTCTTCAGCTAGAAAGCTCACTTGACCAACCAACATCACTAGGTTGTTCCTAGGATAAAAGATAACCATTACAAGATGCACAGTTGCTTTGATCAGTAGTGACATATAAGAATAATACACATACATTCTATTTAGGCTTTCTTGGCATGGTAACAGAAAGAAAGAAAAATGCCACCTTTAAAACTGCAAGGCCAGACCCATGCAGGGCTAATTAACTCCAACCTTTATCAAGAAATTGTCGTGTGTTTTATTTTTCTCAACACTTTTGTTGAGAAAAATACTATACTACAATCAATGTATTGATTTCAAAATGTGCCTTTCTTTCTCCCTAAGGGATAGGGAGGCTATTATGGCTGCAAATCTTCCAGAAATTGCTAAAGAAAATATCATATTCAGATTCTAAAAATTCTCCAATACAGAGCATATCATATCAGGTTCCAAAGAAATTGGGATCATTTTCTATGGTGCTAAATGGCTTAGGTAACTTCTAAATCTGCTTCTCCCCACAAGTTGGCCTAATGTATTTCCAGCATCCATTCTTTTGTAAAAGCCTGGATAAGGAGTTTCCCAGGGTGCTTCTTTTGAATGTTGTTACCATAGCAGCAAAGGAAAGAAGATTCCATGTTTTTTTTTCCCCCAGAGAAACTGCTTCCTCTACCTTTTTACTTCTTATCTGCCCCAATTTGCATAGATGTTTTACTATTGCTTTATTCCAAACAATCATTTTAGAGATTGCTAGATGAAAAACATGGTTGGGGAAACTTACAATATTTTGCTCAAAAAGTATTAGAGGAAAAAGAAATTGAGATAACATAAACATAAACTTCAGCTTAACATAGGAGGAAGAAACTGATTTTCAGCTTAGGATGTTTTAATATTGTAATAGATGAACCAATAAGAAAGAAACAATTTTTAAGCATGAACAGGGTGTTATTCAGTCTTGAATAACAGTAACACTTTGATGCACATGGCACATGGAGAATCTTTTCATCAGTCTAGAAACAGTTCAAAAACTGTGAGATCTCACAATATTGGCTAAGAGAGAACTGACTCATGCTTCTTTTGGCTTTATACCAGTTTATCCAAAATTGGGGCAAAGCTGATGTTTTCTTCTGCAAAGTTTCAGATATCTAGAACATGTAAATACTTTGATCTCTCATAATGGTATTTTTGCTTCCACCCTTTGATTATTCCTGCGCTATATGTGGATGCAATTAATTCACAGGTCCTTTAAGAGAGAAGATGGCTTAGTAGCTTTGTGGCTTTCATAACACATCACAGGGGTAGTTTTGCACATATTGAACATAAAACAAGAGCAAGAACATGAGTAGTGATGCTAACAGTTATTTCCTTTCTCCTTTGTGTGGAGTAGAGGTGAAAGGATTTTAAATGGATCAGTGGTAGTTCAGGATAAAGCCCTGATTGACTTCTAGGGGTGTTTTTGTTTGTCTCTACCCATACCCTTATAATTTTTGAAAGTTTTTTTTTATTATATAAGCTTTTCCAGATAATATAAAGAGAAATAACAAAAGAATAAAGAATACAAAAAGCAAAGTAGAAGATAAACATAAGCAAAAATATAACAACAACAACAACAACAACAAAAACAACTTTTAGTAATGCATTCCCTCATTCTTTTCCACTTATTTTCCAACTGCTAACCACTACCTAGATATTTTGCTATAAACTTGAACATAAAACGGTGGAGGTTATTATTAGTACCTAAGACATTTAAGTTACTATTTTAAATTTATCCTTTAACTCTTTTCCCAGAAAACATTCCACATGTCTGAATTTACCTTGGCTGTGATTTTTATAATGGAGCCATTCCTGCTTGAATTTATTTATTCAATTTATATAACTGCCCATCTAACATAGGTAACTCAAGGTAATAAAATACCTTTGCAATAAAATACATATGAAAAAATAAAAATGAAAAATGTCACATGTGTAGGGTCCTGGTCCTGGGCACAAAACTAAGTTTTCAAGTCCTTATGGAAGGGCACAAGGATGGAGGCCAATCTAATCTCAAGGGGAAAGGTATTTCAAAGGGCGAGACCCATAGTAGAAAAGGCTCTCCTTCTGAACCCCGTTAGGCAACATCCTAGCTGACAGTATCCAGAGCATGCCCCTCTTGCTGGATCAAACAGGATGGTAGAGACAATTGGGAAATGATAAGTAATCCAGTTCCTTGGTCTGAGGTTAGAAATGGTGCCATTTGGAATAAAAAATTCATCTTGGGATGCGTTTAGGATTCTGAGGTAGGCAGGCTGGCTTCAAGCCACTCGCCAATAAGGAATGTAGAAGGGAAGGGAATAGTAAATATTGTAACTGAGAGACATGACAGAGAAAGAAAAAAGAGCCAAAGAAAAATACAGATAGTCTTCAACAGTTCATTTAGTGACCATTAGAATTTACAACATCACTGAAAAAAAAGACCATTTTCACACTTACGACCATTGCAGCATTTTAATGGCCACATTATCAAAATCCAGACTTTTGGCAGCTCACCACATTCACTTAACAATCATGTTACTATCTTAGCAATTGCAGTGATTCACTTAACAACTGTGGCAAGAATAGTTGTAAAAAGTGGCAAAAATTATTTTACAAATGTCTCACGTAGCAACAGAAATGTTGGGCTCAATTATCGTCCTAAATCGAGGACTAACTATAAAGCTAGAAAAATTAGAGACTGGTGGATGGAAATGCATAGTTGAAAAAAAGACAAGAGAACAATCAAAGAGAGCTTTGTAGCAGAACATTTGCTTTATATGTGGATATTCCACGTTCTTTCCCTGTCACCCATGTTAAAAGATTTATGAATGATCAGGAAGATTTAAGACCTTGAAGAGCTGTCAGAATATGTGACAGTAGTTGTAATTTGATGCAGTTTGGATCTATGAGGTTCTGAAAAATAAAATAATGCTATGTAGTATAGATGTAATGGACTAGCGTGGCAGGCAGAGACCAATGTGGTGGGGGGGGGGAGGAAGAAATTAGCTAAGGGATGGAATACTGAAAATTGAAAAGTATGTCATACATAGAGGGGAAGTCCGAAAAATGGGATTGTAGAAAAATGAGGCAGTAGCAATCTTTCTTGTACACAGAGAAACATGAAAAGGGGGGGGAAAAAAAGCAGTTTTCCACTATGTGATTAAAAAAAACAAGTGCTGTCTAAAGTGGAGAAATTCAGAGAGCAGACTAAGAGGAGATGGCCAGAGAAAGAGGTGATTAATTGCTAATAGGGACCTTTCTACACCACCATGGATTCTATTCCCCAATCCTTCAAAAGCAGCCTGGAGCTGATTTGCAGTAATTTTCACTTCTACTGAATTCAAAATGCTGAACACAGCATGAGCCAATCAGTTCTTCCTACCAATTATCCTGTAGGTCAGGGCTTTTCAACCTTTTCACAGATTGTATCACTTTTAGGACATAACAATATTCAAGTACCACCAGTGCTTAGCAAGGTGTCAAAAATTTGATGACTAAAAAAAAAAAGGGGGGGGGATTTTGGGTTTTACTGATTGGATTCATTTGTTGTTATAGAAATGGCTAATTTATACTATTATGGAAAAGTAAAAAGTTGAGGTTCAATGTTAATGCTTCCTTCTACTGCAACAGAGGAAGTCGGAAGTCAATGCCTTTTCTTTTTCCCTTCTCCCCCTCACTTTCCCCCCCTTCTTTCTCCCTACTGTGTCCTACTATTTGCTTTTGTATTTTATTCCATAATCTAATAAAATGTTACAAACTGGAAAAAAAAGGAAAATACCGGTTTTAATTTCTTCAGTGGCGGTTCCTTTGCTCTCTGGCCATGTGGGGGACCCCTGGCGGTGCAGGCTGCCCAGAGCCCTGGGCAGTGGAGGGCAAGCGCCCAGCTCAGCCCAGCCTTCCCCAAGGGGGTGCCCGGCTGGGCTTACCTTCTCCTGAGGCTGTTGCTGCTTAACTTGCTCTCCTTGGCCAGGTTGCTCATGGTGTGTGCGGGAGGACAAAATGTGTGGATCAGAGGGAGGCCCACTCCTCTCCATGCTTTGTAACCAAAGCATCCTCAGCGATAGGATGGGAGACCACCAGGAGAGTCAGGAGGAGGGGACAAGAGGATGGCAAAACGGCAGCAGGGCTGGTTGTGGCCAAGTGCTAAATCAGGACTTCCCTCAGACCCCTCCCTCTCATTATAATCTCCTTCCTTCCTTCCTTCCTTCCTTCCTTCCTTCCTTCCTTCCTTCCTTCCTTCCTTCCTTCCACTTTTCTTCTTTTTCCTTTCTTCTTCATTCTCCTTTCCTTTTTCTTCCTTCCCCTCTTTCTTCCTTTTTCCTTCCTTGCTCTCTTCCCCTCTTCCCCTCTTTCCTTCTTTTTTCTTTGTCTTTCCTCTTTCCCTTTCTCCTTTCCTCTCCCTTCTTGGATGCTCAAATGCAAAAAGGGAAACATTTCTCAATGCCTCCTGCCTTGTGATTAAATGCCATTTTTGCTAGTAGTTTGGGGCTACTTAAAAGATTGAGAACAAACCAGGCTCAGTTTATCCATGCTTGCATTTAGTGGGGGCGTCCATAGACAACAGTACATCAAAACTGTCAAAATAGTGGCTATGATCGTTGATCAGAGCTCCTCCGTTTTTTATGTGCCACAGCATTAGCATTTAGGAACAGAGGTAGCTTAGTTGCTTTTCTATTAATACATAATTCTTAAAAGGGCTCTCTTGTAGGGATCCTGCCTTGGTCTAACTGAGACTGGAAATATAGCAAAGGAAAATGTTTCCCCCCACTCTGCTTTGTCCTATTTTCCCCACTGGAAATGGCTGTTAGCAACATGCAAGGAGGGGATACTTGAAGAGCTCACAATTCAAGAATACTAATGTTAATTTGGATTGCCAACAAAGTTCTGTCTGTGACAAAACAGAACACAAAATTGCGTTCTCCTTCGAACTGGGGCATTTCCAACCAAGTTGCCTCTCCTTCCTTCCTTCCTTCCTTCCTTCCTTCCTTCCTTCCTTCCTTCCTTCCTTCCTTCCTTCCTTCCTTCCTTCCTTCTTCCCCTGCTTTTTTTTTTAAATTGCCGGAGGCTCTGGGCAGAGGTGGCAGCAGGCAGGCAGTGGTGGGGAGAGGCTTCACATTTTGACCCCTTCCCCCTGTCATTGCCTCTGTATGGCTCTCAGCTCACCTTTCCCAGACCTGTGCATTTGTTTGTGTGTGTGTGTGTGTGTGTGTGTGTGTGTGTGTGTGTGTGTGCATGCGCATGGGCTGGAGGGGGTCCCCATGCCCTCAACAGAGACCTTCTGCGATGGCAGGGTGCAAACTAATGAAAGCTGGGTTTTTTTGGAGTACTTGTTTCTTTTTCTCAACGTGCCGCCGATTGCATCGTGCCCTGTGCCTCTCAGCTCCCACCTTGGGGGAAAAGGAAGCACTTCTCTTGCCTTTTTTCTTTCTCAGTGGTCAGCAGGGATGGTCAACATGGATGCCAGGTGCTCGCTGCCTTCTCTTCGCACACCCAGGGGGAGCAGTCCCTGGCTGGCCCTTTCCTGCCAAAACCTCTTTTTATATCCTCTCCTCTCTCCCCCCTCCTCCTCCTTTTCACTTCAGGGCACCTCCAGCTTCCAGAAGCACCGATCAGCTGGAGCCCAGCACTGACCCTGGGGCTTCTGCTGAGCCCCAACAGCTGCAACTCCATCTGTCTGTCCTTCAGGCTTGTGTGGCACTGCTGCCACTTCAGCTCATTCCTCTCCTCCCCGCTATCATTTCTCTAGAATGGTTGCATACCATCTGCCAGGTGCCAAAGTACCACCTGTGATATGCGCACCACTGATTGAAAAACCCTGCACTAGAAGGCTTGGGTTAATTGCATTCAATCAGTACAATACAAGCAGGTTGCACTCATAAGCTTGGTGATGTAAAGAAAAAAAATTGTTGCTATTAGAGTGGAGGATATAAAGCTCCTTTTACTCTATGAGAACCTCTGAGTGAAGCAGGGACAATTTGGTTTTTGCTCAGGACCTTAGAGTCAAGGTGAGGTACATTCTCACTGATGGAAAATGGCATGCCTATGAATTCTTCAGAGTTCTATCAGTGCAAATGAAAAAATTGCCTTTGACCAATTCTAGATAGGATAGCAATTGACCCAAAAATAAATCGGCTTAGCTGCTGCATACAGCATGAGAGTATACCTCTGGAGACATCTTCTGAAGCAAGCCAAAGATACTATGTGGAACACAGATTACAAAAAAAGTCTTTCATTGTTACCATGGCTATATGGGACACTAGAATTGACCCTCATGTTTGGCTTTTCAGCTCAACATTAGAGTACAATGAACATATCAGTGTAGAGATTGGTACTGTGGTAGCAATTTATGTTATCTTTCCAAACAACATAAATTTGAAGAATTAAAGGCACTTTAAAAACAAAGAATCCTTTGGTGTGATTTTAAATTCCTGTTTGTATGAATATATATTCAGTAGTATGAATATATTTACACGTAAGAATATTTTCTTTAGATAGACATATGTAAAGGAAGAAGCTTGCTATCATGATCCTTCCTATTCTGTGATTAATTTATTCTACCTTCACAGAATGTCTGAAAAATTATCTTAATATAGACCCAAGAATGAGGGGTCCTTGGTGCTCTCTGAACTTTCTTGTTTTCTTGCAGACATTTCATTACCCTAACTAGGTAACATCATTAATGCTAGTAAGGAGTGCTGTTTGCTGTCTGTTTATATTTTAATTCTATAGAATAGAAGCTGTGTAAGGACTTTATTTAAATGAGCCCAAACTCAATGCAGCAATCCAGAACAGCAGAAAAAGGAAATGGAGCATCTATACAACACATTCCAAAAAAATGGATACCTACACAACTTCATCAAAAAGTTCCTAACCACTCAACCCAATATAGCACAACCAACCCAAACTCTAAAAAGAATTACACTGCCATACATCAAGAATATCTCAGAAACCGCAAATAGACTATACAACCACATGGAATCATCATAGCACATAAGCCAACTAAAGCCCTTCAAAACGTCCTAAGTAAACCCAAAGATCCAGCAACCCCAGAAGGAAAACAAGAGTCATCAACAACATACAATGTAAGAACTGCAACAACCGCTATGTAGGACAAACAGGCAGAAGACTGGCAGAACGTATCCATGAACACCAACTGGCAGTCAAAAGGCATGACGAAAATTCTTTAATTTCACAACATATAGACAGATTTAACCATAATTTCAGCTGGGAAAATGTGACAATCCTAGGCCAGGCCAAATCCAAAAATGCCAGGGAATTTCTAGAAGACTGGCACTCTGACAAATCAGCCATCAATTGATACATAAACATTAGCAACATCTATAGACTATGCAAAAGAGACAATCAACTAGCCCAAAAGAGAAAAAGACTCCAGCACTTCTCCTCCAGTAATCAGCACTCAGATCAGCGCAGATTAACTCTAACTCTGTTGTTCAGATCAACAATCAAGTAAGCAATTTTCCAATCAAGAAACTGCTACAGAGGCATTAGTGAACAGCCTAATCAAAGAATCCCTAAGACTGCTCCCACCACCCAGACAGGCAAGAATATAAACAGACAACAAACAGCACTCCTTACTAGCACTGATGATGTTACCTAGTTAGGGTAATGAAATGTCTGCAAGAAAACAAGCAAGCTCAGAGAGCAACAAGAACCCTTCATTTCAGCTCCAAGCTACAAATATTCTCCTTCATTGAGACTCAAGAGTGAATAAAATTGCAATGACTGGGGTGGTGGCCTATTAGTAGAAACTTCTGCCTAGCATTCAGAAGGTTGAAAGTTCAGTCCTAGGTAGCAGCAGATGTTTCTCTCTAGGGTGCAAAGAAAAAAAGCTCAGCTTCATCCAGTCACCTAAACTCTAATTAAGGAATTATAGGGTTATGAAAAGGGAGTTTAGTGAATGAAATTGTACAATTATGACATAAGGATATAGGCAGTGGTGGGATTCAACTGGTTCGCACCACTTTGGCAGAACTGGTAGCTAATTTTTTTGTTGCCCAGGCCCAGAATGGACTTCCAGAAGCAGCAGCCACACAGAGAACCAGTTATTCACATATTTGAATCCCACCACTGGATATAGGCAGCCTTCCTATCCATTCGTACAAACATAAAGGACTTTATTTAAATAACAGGATACTATGAACAGATCATTTTAATTAAACTGAACTGAATTAAGTATTGCCTGATACAATGTGTGGAAATACATGTTTCTTGTGGCAATATTTTTCTTTTTTAAATCCCCTACAGCAGGAGCCACTTCCTCACCAAATCTACCAGACACCAGTACCTCGCATGTCCCGTGGTTGCACAGAACCAGGTAAACAGGCCTTTCAACCAAGAGATGTTGTATCTTGTAATTTGGGAATTGGAGGAAATGAGTTTCCAGCTTTTATCTCTGTATTCCTTTAATTTTTTTGGAATTCTGTTCTTAACTATAGTCTCAATAAATTATACCTATAATAATGCAAATCTGCGGGATTTAATTTCTGTTGAGTACTGAGATACCTCAATATTTCATTGCCAGTCTTTCCCCCTGGTTTATTTATTTGTTCCTTGGTGTGTTTTATTTTCACCTTCTTTTTTTCCTCTGGAGTGTACTTTAATTACTCCCTTGGTAATTAAAAAAACATAAAAAATCTAGATTAAACTTCCTAATAAAATAGATAGCATGATCATATAACAATTGAAAACCTGTTTAAGGAAATGATAAAATTTTCAAAAGAGTGTGTTTCATAGTCTGAAAGAAGGTCTTCTGCATTTAAAGTGGAGAATATATTTTATTTATTTTATTTTATTTTATTATTTATTTTTAATTTTATTCAATTTATGTAAACATCCATTTCACATTTGTGACTCTGTAGTGTTTCAGTAGCCAGAGTGCTTTGACCTTGACAATAAATAGATTTAGTCTGAAATGTCTTTGAGTGTACAGTGATAGAGATTTCTCTCTGGAATTTGGAAAACTTTAGGGACAGACTCTTCTAGAAGATTTCTGTTAATTGAAATGAAGCTCTGCTTTGCATACACTGAGGTTCCATGAAAGGAAATAGCTGATTATTTGTTGGCAGGATTTTTTCTTACCAAGGAAGGGAGATGGGTATAGACCTGATATAAATGATGGTGTAATATAAATTACAGCTCTGATGGTGAGCTGTAATTCTTAAGACGTGTTTTCTGAAAGGAAGATGACAACTATCTTGAGTTTTGAATAGAATGCAACAAAAATATTTCTTCCAATAGGTGGTGAGCATTCAGATGATTTCTTCTTTCAGGCATCTCAACTGATATGCATTGGAAGAAATCATATCATAGATTGATATCAGGTAGTTATGCTAGATATTTCAGTATAATTGTATCAAGATGGTAACATAAGATTATAAGTCAGTATATGTATATAGATTGCTATACTGTGCCTGATCACATCTTTTGTCCCAGTTTAAATAACTGAAAATATGATTACCTATTTTTTCATATATGATATCCTTCTCCATTATGTAATATGTATTTTTTTTCTTTCAGGGTGTTTATTTTCTGCACTGAACTACAACATTCCTCCTGGGCTTCCTAAACTGCGTCGACGAAGACAGGTAAATTTACTACATGCTAGTAATAATCAATTTTAAAAACAGAAGTCCAAAGAAGTCTTATAAATTTACTGTACCTGAAAAACAGAACACAATTTTTTTATGCATAAATTCCTAGCATCACCTATTATGTTGGAATAGTCCAGACCTTTCTCTACAATCTTTTTCTGCAATCAAGAATCAAGATCATGTGGTTAAAGACTGTATGATTAAATGGGCTCAGAATATCCAGGAACCGATCCCATTGGACTTATGGGAGACAATTTGGATTAGAAATGTTAAATTTACACAAACTCAAAATTTGAGAGGAAATTTTTATAAAATGTTTTACAGATGGCATTTAGATCCTAAAAAATTATCTTGTATGTATCCAAATTTAAAACCCAAATGTTGGAGATGTGGTAATATGGATGCAACATATTTTCATGTTTTTGTGGAATTGTAAAAAGGTAAAGGCTTTTTGGATTATGATTTGGTGGAACATTCAAAAGATTTTTAAAAGGAAGATAAAGTTCACCCCTCAATTATTCCTGTTGGGTATCTTTGTGGATTTAAATGACAAAGAAACTACTTTAATGTTGAATTTATTAACTGCAGCAAGGTTACTAGTAGGCTTATATTGGAAGAAAGATTCGTTGCCTACTTTAGAAGAATGGATATTTAAAGTTTCTAACTTTGCAGAAATGGCAAAAATTTCTGCTTATTTGAAGGATCATACACAAGAAAGATATATTATTGTATGGAGAAGACGGATAGATTATATTCAGAAAAAATATGGGACTATAAAGTTTCATTTACTTTATGAGTAAATTTTATAGTAACTGTTGTAGAGATTTGTTTATATGATTTAATTTAAGGGGAGTTAAAGGTTAAGTATGATGTTTTATTTCTTTTTTCTTCTTTTCTTTTTTTATTATTGTTAACTTTCTTATTAATAACTCTGTACTCTGGGAAGTGAGGGGGGGAGGGTTGAGGGTGGGTGGGTGGGTGAGTGGGTGGGTAATGATAATATAGTCGTGGTAAATGCTTGGGCATTTCCCCTATGCTGCGTTCATGTGTGTGAGAGGGATGAGAGGGGAGGAAGGAGCAGGGAGGAAGTAGGATGGTTAGAGGAGAAGGGGAGGGGAAGAGAGTAGGAGGGGAGGAGAGAAAGAGGAGGGAAGTAGGGAAGGATTAGAGAGGGTGAACGCGCCCTGAGGTGAATGGGCAGGCGGTACCAATGGTTAGGAATTTATTTTAATTGAATTGTATTTTGTATGAATAAATGGAAAATAAAAAACTTTTTATTAAAAAAAAAAGAATCAAGATCATGTGAAGTGTTAGTATCACTTTATAATGCCTTGGTAAGGCCACACTTGGAATACTGAGTCCAGTTTTGGTTGCCAAAACTGGAAGGAGTGCAGAGAAGAGCATCAAAGATGATTAGGGGGCTGAAGGCTAAAACTTATGAAGAATACTTTCAGGAATTGGGTCTGTCTAGTCTAATTAAAAGGACTAGAGGTGACATGAAAGCAAGTCTTTTAATATCTGAAGAGTTGTCACAAAGAAGAGGGGGTCAACCTATTCTCCAAAGTATCAGAAAGCAGGACAAGAAGCAATGGATGGAAACAAATCAAAGAGAGAAGCAACCTAGAACTAAGGAGAAATTTCCTGAAAGTTAGAACAATTAATCAATGCAACTATTTGCCTCCAGAAATTGTGGGTGTCCCATCACTAAGGTTTTAAGAAGAGATTGGACAGCCATTTGTCCAGAATGGTATAGGGTCTCCTGCTTGAGCAGAGGGTTGGTCTAAAATAGTGGTCCCCAACCTTTCCACTGGCATATGAGTGGCAGGCATACGTGCATGCACAACTTCATTGGTGTGAGCAGGGGGCACCTGCACCTTCCACTCGAGTGAATAGAGCTTTGCATGTGAGTGAGGGTGCTTGCGTTTGCACACGAAACTCCACTCATGCGTGTGGAAAGTGCTTGCATGCAAAGCTCCATTCCTGTGAATGGAGCTTTGCACACAAGTGCCCTCTGGTCATGCAAGTGGAGCTTCGTCCATAAGCATCAGCTCCCTTCAGTTGCACAAGTAGAGCTTCATGCATGAGTGCTTGTTCACCACTCACACCAATGGAGCTTTGTGTGCATGTTCTTGTCCATCACTCACGTGGCCCAGTTTGAAAGAGGCTGCAGCCTGGTAGTGGACCATGGCCTGGGGTTTGGGAACCCCTGGATTAGAAGTCTTCTAAGATTCCTTCCAATTCTGTTATTCTGTTATCTTCATGAATTTGCTTCCCATTCAATATAGATCAGACATAAGTAGCATTAATACTTTACATACATGTCAATTTAAACATTTCAGAGTCCCCCATATGCAATGAACTGTCATGACATTCTGGGAATTTTTCAAAATATAGGGAAGAAACCATTTTGTTCTCTTTCTCCCGTGGAGGCAATACTATGCTAAGCAGTCTATTAGTGGCCATATATGCATTTCAAAGAAAGAGGAAATGTTTCATAAGAATAGAAGTTGCTTATTTACCTTCAAGTTTTATAGGGACTGATAAATAATGCCTATCTAAACTAAGCACTGTTAATTGCAAAAGTCTTCAGTTGTCTAACTTAGCCCAGTTTACTTCATTTATCTATTCTTTTAAATGGATAGTCCAAAGCAGGTTATCTTCTCTTCCCCTACATTTTTGTATATTTTTAAGGGTGCTGGTCTAGAAACCAGGAATCTCTAAGTTCTAGCCCTGTTTTAGCCATGAAAAAACAGCTGGGTGATTGCTTTGAGTTACTTATAAAGTAACTGGCAGGAATAGCCAACACTCCAGAAGATAGGCTTAAGATACAGGAGGATCTGGACAGATTTGAACACTGGGCACTATGTAACAAAATGAAATTCAATGGTGAAAAAAGTAAGGTTCTACATTTAGGCAAGAAAAACCAAACGTACAGGTATAGTATAGGACAGGGGTGTCAAACTGCCGGCCCACAGGCCGGACGCATCATCCCAAAACCGCGCCCACCCGATTGCCGGCAATGGAGAAAAAGCTCCGATACATTGTGCGACATCATGTGACATCGCAAGTTTGACATGCCTAGTATAGGGGGTACCTTGTTCAATAGTTGTAACTGTGAGAGGGATCTCAGAGTCCTAGAGGACAATCACTTAAATATGAGCCAGCAGTGTGTTGCAGCTGCCAAAAAAGTCAACACAGTGCCAGGTTGCATTAACAGAGGGATAGAATCAAGATCACATGAAGTATTAATACCACTTTACAATGCCTTGGTAAGGCCACACTTGGAATACTGCATCCAGTTTTGGTCACCACGATGTAAAAAAGATGTTGAGACTCTTTCTAGAGTGCAGAGAAGATTAAGGGACTGGAGGCTAAAACATATAAGGAACGGTTGCTGGAATTGGGTATGAAGAGAAGGACGAGGGGGGACATGATAGCAATGTTCCAATATCTCAGGGGCTGCCACAAAGAAGAGTCAAGATATTCTCCAAAGCGCCTGAAGGCAGGACAAGAAGCAATGGGTGGAAACTAAATCAAGGAGAGAAGCAACCTAGAACTAAGGAGAAACTTCCTGACAGTTAGAACAATTAACCAGTGGAACAACCTGCCTCCAGAAGTGGTGAATGCTCCAACACTGGAAGTTTTTAAGAAGAGACTGGACAGCTATTTGTCTGAAATGGTATGGTTTCCTGCCTGAGCAGGGGGTTGTACTAGATGACCTCCACAGTCTCTTCCAACTTTATTACTATCAATCATCGCATAGTCAGCCAGATGTTCAGACTGGATTTGGCATTTTGTCTACCTATCGAGTCCTTACCAAGGACCTGGGATAGGCAGATGTGGATGTTTGATGGTATTACAGATATCATCGCAGGATGGAAGCAGTTCCTAGTAAGGCTGCCTTTTGCAATTGACTAATGGCGAGTTTGTCAATGCCAATGGTGTTCAAGTGGTGCTCCAGTTGTTTTGGGATTGCACCTAAGGCACCTATTACTATTGGTACTACCCTTGCTTGCTTTTGCCACAGTGTTTCTATTTCTATTTGTAGGTCTTTGTATCTTGTTATCTTCTCCAGTTCTTTCTCGTCTATTCTGCTGTCTCCAGGCACTGCCACATCCACTATCCAGACTTTTTTGTCTTTCTTATCGACAATTGTTAAGTCCGGGGTGTTATGTTGCAGGTGCTTGTCTGTTTGAATTCTGAAGTCCCAGAGCAGTTTAATTTTATCATTTTCTATGACTTTCTCTATTTTATGATCCCACCAGTTTTTGCTTACAGGCAAATGATATTTTTTGCAGATCTTCCAATGCACTATTGTTGCTACTTTGTCATGCCGCTGCTTGTAATCAGTTTGTGCAATCTTCTTGCAACAGCTTACCAAGTGGTCCACTGTTTCTTCAGCTTCTTTGCATAGGCGGCACTTACTGTCTGTTGCTGTCTTCTCAATTTTGACTTTATATGCATTTGTCCTTAAGGCTTGGTCTTGTGCAGCCAGAATTAATCCCTCAGTCTCTTTCTTCAATTTTCCTGCTCTTAACCATTGCCAGGTTTTATTATTATTTGCTTTCCTAGCTATTTTTTTTAATGTACAGCCATCTAGTGCTTTGTCTTCCCATGTCTCTATTCTGTTCTTTATTTGGTCTTTCTTGTAGGCCAGTTTGGTCTCAGTAATCAGTACTCAGTAGTCAGTAATCCTTCCTGATATACTAATTTCAGTGCATCTTCATCACTGTCCTTCAGATATTCTTCCAAAGCCATTTTTTTTCTTCAACCATCTGATGTACTTGCAACATTCCACACCCACCTATTTGCCTTGATAGATAAAGTCTGTCAATGTCACTGCGTGGATGAAGGGCATGATTCATTGTCATTATTTTTCTGGTCTTTCTATCCATTGCTTTTAGTTCTGCTTGAGTCCAGTCCACTATTCCAGCTGTGCATCTAATAACTGGAATTGCCCAGAAGTTGATTGCCTTTATGGTATTTCCTCCATTGAGTTTGGACTTTAAGATTTTCTTCGCTCTCTTGATGTATTCACCTCTAATCTTTTTCTTGACTTCAGTGTGCTTGATGTTGTCAGCTTGAAGGATACCCAAATATTTAAAGTAATTTCTTTATCCAGACTCTTAATGTTATTTTCGTGGGGCATCTTGATTCCTTCAGTTTTCACTATTTTTCCTTGTTTGATAGCAAGTGTGGCACACTTGTCCAAGCCAAACTCCATTGCAATATCTTGGCTATATATACGGACAGTGTTGAGCAGCGATTCTATTTCAGATGATGTTTTTCCATACAGCTTCAGATCATCCATTTAAAGGAGGTGGAATAGTCTGGCAGATGTTTTTGATGTTTGATAGTCATGTCTTGAGTTATTCAGTATTGTTGACAGAGGAAACAGTGGAATAACAAATAGTAATGGTGATAATGAATCTCCTTGAAATATTCTCTCTTGATGTTAACCTCTCCCAGTCTCTCACCATTGACTTGCAACTGTGTCTTCCATTGTGCATCAATCTTTCCACAAATTTTCTGATGTTTCTACTGACTCCTGTTATTTCTAGGCACTTGATTATCCAGTGATGTGGCAGAGAGTCAAATGCCTTTTTGTAGTCAATCCATGCCACATTGAGGTTAGTCTTCCTTTTCTTGCAGTTTTCCAAAATCATTTTGTCTATTAGGAGTTGATCTTTTGTTCCTCTGCTATTGGGACGGTTTCCTTTCTGCTCAGGTGGAAAGAGATTATTTTCAATTAGATGCTGTTGTACAACCACACCAGTTAGCAATTTGAATATTATTATTATTATTATGGCAAGATAAACATCTAATAAGATAAACAAATTAGATCTTTGTTTATTTCACTTGAAAACATTATTGAAAAAAAATCGCTTTACTACTTTGGGATTGTAGTTAAAATTTTATTTTAGAATAACAAATGGCAGCTAGATAAGTTCTCACATTCCAAGCAGCAAGGCTTGCAGGTGCACTATAGCTCCATGTTTACTGTGTTGGATTAAAATCTGGGTCAGTAGTGGCAAACCTATGGCACGGGTGCCAGAGGCGGCACTCAGAGCCCTCTCTGTGGGCACGTGCGCTGTCGCTGGGTTTTATAAAACCTTTTCGCTTTAGGCCTCTGCCACCATGTACAAAAAAAAAAAAAGGTTCAATCTATCAGTCAATTTCAACTTCTCGTACGGGAAAAAAAGATCTTGCAAAGTTGGAATTGATTGATTGAACTTTTTAGTCCCACCCAGTCTGCTGTTACCACCCAGTACCCAACGATACATAAGTGGGTTTTGGGTTGCAGTTTGGGCACTCGGTCTCTAAAAGGTTCGCCATCACTGATCTAGGTACAAATCCACTCTCAGGTCATTAAGTATATGAAGTTAGTCCCAGTTTAACTCAATCTGTCTCACAAGAGTTATTCTGTGGATAAAATGTATGCTTAAGTTCTTAGAGGAAAGATAGAACAGAAACAATGTAATAAAAATATTAATTACACTGGATATTGCATAATTGTTATTGAAAAGAAAGGTATGAAACTACTGTAAGATTAAAATCATGTTTGGGTTAGCTTTGACTGATTATATACAACGTCTTGAAGTTTTATAGCATTTCACAGCTTAGAAAGCTGCTTTTTGTATAATATATATCAATTTTTTCCAACTGCCCTTCTCTTAATTCTTAACAATTTGCAAGAATTAAGGAAGCTGTGCCTAACTAGCTCTAGGCTGTGGAAGATTGATGAATTCCAAACTTCTGATTGAGCTTCTGTACTATAAAATGTAAGGAGAAGGAATATGGAACTTACAGAGGCCTGTATATAAAATATGTTCCTGGGTATGAATGGGAAGGCCCTTCTTAGAGCAGGAGAGTTACCAGTGTAAATGTGTCTTCTTCTTTTTCCCATCCCAGGTTCACCGAGGTCATCGGACTGTCCACAGTGAGACCAAATTCATTGAATTGATAATTGTTAATGACCACCAACTGGTGAGTACTGATAATGGCCTAGAAAGACAAATATGGATGGGTTTGCTGTTGCAGCTCTTTTAAAAATTCTTTGTGGAGAGAAGCAAATGAATTGCCTGCCAAGACTGTTTCTTTGAGCAATTTGGCAAACAATGATCAGAGCATTTTTCCTTTCAGTCTCTTAAGTGTGATTTCTTTTCTTTTTTTTAAATTGGTCAGTGTATCCTCTGTCAAGATCTCTTCCACAATGCCTTTTTCAATTCAGATAAACTGTCCATCAACTGAGCTTGCTGGATCAATATAATTACATTGTCAATATAATGACCAGTGCAGATTGATAAAATACGCTCAAAGCTTTCCAAGCCTATTGTGTCTTGCATTGGTAATTTGTTTGTTTGTTTTGTTGCAGTTCTTACTCTTGTTTAGTGCTTTGCATTCAGAACAGAGTTACTAATGAATCCCTGGTAATTGCTCTTAAATAGACAATTCAAAATTGGGCTAGAGGTCTTTAATTTATGATTTAATTATTGTCTTTTCATTTTTAAAATGCAAAATGATGTTATACTTCCCTATCCTGTTCAAATAACAGTAATGAAATAACATGTATAATGAAAGGTTCTTTCTCAATATTTAACAGAGACTGACAAATTGAAGACTATTAAGAGATAATTCATCAATAATGTTATTAGTCTGAATTCTTAATGACTTTATGGATCCCCCATATAGACAACGATAAAATATTTATTTATTAAATATATATGCTTCGACGTCACTATCAAAGTGATTCAGTTCAAATGGTTTGACATTGCCTTCTTCCAAGTTATTATTATGACCACCCAATCTAGTCTAGCTTATCTTACTGAATTTATTAGTAATTAATTAAATAATTATACTACCAGAAAATACTTGAAAACTAAACTGAAAAATTTAAAAATATCTGAAAGAAAATATTTCTCTACCTTTGCCTTGAAAACAACATTGATATGTCCCCAAAATTATCAACATCCAAGCATGATTTGGTTTTTTATTAACATCAGTTGAACTTGACTCAAACAAACCTTTTTTATTTTGAGCAAGAAGTTTCTGCAAACCGCAAAACCAGTCTGAAACTTTGGATCAGTGCTTGAACACTTGCTCAGCTAAAGATGTGACCAAAGAGTACTGCTTTGTTAGAGAAGGTGATTTGGCTAGAAAATCTTGGAATTACTGAGTTAAAGGGAGTCAGTAACCTGATTCTCTACAGGGGGCTACCCTTGAAATATATTCAGAAGCTATAACTGATACTGAACAGAACGGCACAGACAGTTCTAGAAGTTCTTGGGTGGACCATCTAACACCACCATTTGCAAGCTGCACTGGTTGCAGTCTGCTTTTGAATCCAGTTCAAGGAGTTGGTTATCATTTTTAAAGCCCTTTATGTAAGGTGACCAACTTTTTTACAATGAAAAGGAGGGCACAAATAAATTGAAGAAAAAAATATCGTAAATAAAGGAAACATTTTATTCATTGCAACAATAATACAGAATATAATATGATAAATGCATAATAAAAACATTTGTAACAATAACATTTTATATTGTAATTATGCTTATATGCCATGCCCCTGCCCGCAGCCGTCCCACCAGCACTGCTGCCCCACCGTGTAGAGTGGGCCCCGCAGCTCCCAAAGCACCAGCTGCGCCGGCTCCGGCCTCAGGGGGCAGCCTGCTGTCAACACACCCCGCCTGCAGCCACCCTGCCAGCACCATCGCCCACCCTGCACAGCCTTGTGTAGAGCAGGCCCCGCAGCTCCCACAGCACGGGGGGCAGCCGGCCACTGCCACCCCTCACATCCCTGCCCGAAGCAGCCCCGCTGCCCCTGCCTCTTGCGCCCTCAGCCATTATTGCCCTAGCAGGGCCAAAGATCAAGAAAAAGTTACTGTGGCGTCGCCGCTCCAATCTCCTCCAGGTATCTTCGGGACTAACTAGGAGATGGTGTAGTTGGGTAGCAGGGAGGGGTGCAAAGTTCCTGCCAATTCGCCTTTGCTGCAGACAACTTACATGTGCCGGCCGGGTGTTTTGGGGCGCTCAGCAGCAATTCCTATTGGCTTTCGAAAGCCAATAGGGGGAGTAGCACAGCTCACGCAAAAGTTGAAAAAAAAAACATCAAAAAAAGGTGCCAGAACACCATTCTGAGCGTTCTATGAGAAAAAAAAGCCCTGCAGATTAGTCTCCAAATATCAAAAAGGAGGACATGTAGGAGGACACTTTTCGAGGGAGGACAGAACTTACAAAAGGAGGACTGTCCTCCCTAAAGGAGGACGGTTGGTCACCTTACTTTATGGCCTGGGTCTCTCCCAATGGGATTGGCCTATCCCACTTACTCCAGCAGAAGAAGCCTACTTCAGTCCCTACCTGCTAAAGAATTTACGGTTGATGGGATCCAGGAAAAAAGCCTTTTGTGATCTCTGTCCTTTGGAATATTCTCCTGCCAGAGTTGAAGTCGGCCTGATAGGAATGCCTGAAAATCTCCATTCCTGTGTTGCCTGTCCTTTTGATTTTTAACCTTCATTTATTTTTTCTTAATTTTAATCATTTAATATTATCTTTTTAACATTTTGTAAGTTTCCTAGAGTTGCAGTAGCAGTGAAATGGGTGGCATATGAATTTAATAAATAAATAATAAATTCAGTACATGTTTCAGGAAATATTATTTACATGGACTTATTTCTGTGCAAACCTGATAAAAGTTTATGGCTAAGAAGATAGGCATTTCAAAAATGTACTGATGTGTTAAAAGTGAAATTGACCTTATGGCAATTTTTTTAAGTTGGGAGAAGTCAAAGAGGCAGAGGAGGGGAAGTCCCTCACTAGACTGCTTCAGCCTCAGGTTTAATCAGATGATGAGTGAATTTCCTGAAACTATTTTTTTCTGTATCTATTCTGTTCCAGTTTGAGCAAATGCGCCGCTCAGTCAGCCTTACCAGCAACTTTGCAAAGTCTGTGGTAAATCTTGCTGATGTGGTGAGTGTGGAGTACATTGCAGTTTCCTGCAAACATTACATGCAAAAATAAGGTGAGGATGAAACAAGGGAAAATCTGGCCCTATGCAAAGGATTTCATGGTGGGTCCCTTCTACAGGCCATCATCAGATACAAATAAGTGACCCAGTCTATTGAGTTCTAGATCATTTTCACATATATTTGATCTTAAATCCTAGCTTCTCATTTCCACAGCACTCTGCAGGTAAATGTGTAAACACACATAAACATATTGTCTTTCAAGTATCCACAATTATTTTTAGATAATGTTTCCTGACAGATGTTTTCATACTAAGTACATGCCAATATATACTTGTGAAACATGGAAATGTACAACCAAGACGATTAAACAGTTAAATATTTCCCAATAATGCTGCTTGGGAAAAATTCTCCATGTCTTATATTGTGACCACATGTCTAATGAAGTAAACTACAAAGATTAGATTTAGAACATCTATTGAGAACTGTGAATGAACATTGAATGCAGCTTGTTGGTGACATCTTATGTATGCCTAAAGACCAGCATTCAAATATTGTACTATGTTGGATAATTCCTGGAGGAAAGAGAAAATGAGGCTGGCCTCAGAAAACTTAAAGAAGATCTTAAGATTTTTAAGGTCCCTAGAGAGATGCCAAAGAGGCTGTGAATGATTGAAAACCACTGGAAAACACAAGGTGTTTTGCACAGGACCTAATGATGATGATGATGACATGCTAAAGGACAACTGTCTTAATTTTCATAATTAGCTTAAGAAATGCAAATTTAATCAGTCCAATATATAGAGCAAAGTTTTTCACTTATTTTTATATTCTACACTCACTCATCTTTTTTTTAAAATTAGTGAACAGTTTAAAGAAAGAATTGTAGACAAGGAGAGACAAAACGCATTAAATGAGTCAAAGGATATGTAAGCAAAATAGTAAGATACAAATAAGTAAACAAGATCTAAATTGTCTTGGAGACTACAGTTCTTCCATAAAATATTAATTATTAAATTACAAAATTTTGTAATTACATTTTAAAGAAAAAATTAAGAATAACTTTTAAGCTTTAAGCTAACAATAATGGTACAGCATAAATCACTAATTAAAATTATAAGCTATAATAGGTTTAATCTAATTTCCCAAATATAAACACTCTGCATAGAAAAACCCACATTTTATATGCTTTTTGTTGGAAAAGATCTTTCCTTGTATGAAAGAATGGCTAGCCAAATTGCGAGAGTGTGCTTTGATGTCTAGAATAGCTTTGTATTAAAAAAAATATTAAAATTTATTTCTTAAAATTTAAATATTTAGACTTACTCTTAACAATGTTATTCAATATTTCTTCTTTCTCTGTTTCCAAAGAGAAGCATATAATTTCCTTGCAGCAGCTAACATATACAAAACTAATTTGGTATGCTTTGAAGGATTATATGATTTAGTAAAATTTAATACAAATGTCTCAAGTTGCAATAGGAATTCAACTTTTATAATTTGTGTAATTTTAATGGGAATTATTTTCCAAAAATGTTGAGTTTTCAGTATTACTGTCAAATATGAAACAATACTTCAACCTCATCTTATTTTCATCTTATTTTAATAACCAAGAGAGAAATAATATGTCAATAATAAAACAACAATTATAATGTTATAATATTCAGACTAATTTTAATCTTTTTCCACTAAAAGTACATATGAAAATAAATTGTGGGAAGGAAATAAACTATTTTAGTTTTCATTTGACTTAAAGGGTACATTTGGAAAACTGTGGTACTTTGGCAAATAGGAAGCATATCTCATGTATGGAAGGTGGAAGGCCCCCACCTTTATAAAAAATCTATGTTTGGTCACAGATTTTTAAGGAGCAGTTGAACACTCGTATTGTGTTGGTTGCCATGGAGACATGGGCATCGGGGGATAAGATCCAGACTGATGAAGAGTCCCTAGAGACATTGAGAGAGTTTATGAAATATCGCCAAGAGTCTCTTCCTGAATACAGTGATGCTGCTCATCTTTTCTCGTGAGTTTTAAATGGGAATGTGGTCACTTTTATGCTAGAAAGATGCAAAATTAACTATTATAGTTCTGATAGTAAGAATAGGCTGAAGTAGGGATGTTAGAGATGTTCATAAGGGATGTTAAGAAAATCTATATATGTAATGAAACTTTTATTTTACTGAACAAGTTGCCCAGGAGTCTGCTTTTCTGGTAAGCCTATTTAATAGATCTTCTGGTATTATAGCAAATGAAATACAGCTTTCTATTATATGTTCACTTCTATTTATATTTCTTTTTAGACATTTAGGATAACATAGAGACATTCTTTGCTGTTGAAGAATATTCACTAATATAGTAGAAATAAGATGTTGGCACAAAAAGAAAACTTTGCCAGATTTTGTTATTTAAGTAGTCTTCATTCAGTGACTGCTTTGTTTAGTAACTGTTCAAAGTTAACACTTAGCACTTAGACTTATATACTGCTTTATGATACTTTACAGCATTCCCTAAGTGGTTTACAGAGTCAGAATATTGCCCCCAACTATCTGGGCCCTCATTTTACTAATCTTGGAAGGATGGAAGAATGGTAATGAAAAAGGGACATTATGACCAATAATTTGCATTTGCAGCCTTTGCAGTTACATAAAGCAAAGGAAAGCACACAGGTGTGCTTTCACTTAACACTCACTTCACCTAATGACTGAGTTGCTGGTCCCGTTTGAGGTAAATAAGGACTACCTGTACTAGATAATAACTGTATTACCTGTTAAAATTACATAAGAGGCACCCTGATATATCTAATTAGTTTACCACTAAAGTTAATTCCAGTTCTAGCAAGCATGGTTTTCAAAATAACAGTTACTTTTGACTTGTGATTAAAATGTATAGATTCAACAACAAGTTTGAATTAATATAGGTACAGAATTAAGAATTAAGATACAATCACTTAAATATGGGTCAGCTGCAACTGCCAAAAAACCAACACAGTGCTAGGTTGCATTAACAGAGGGATAGAATCAAAATCATGTGAAGTATTAATACCACTTTAAAATGCCTTGATAAGGCCACATTTGGAACACTGCATCCAATTTTGGTCACCATGATGTAAAACAGTTGTTGAGACTTTAGAAAGAATACAGAGAAGAGCAACAAAGATGATCAGGGGCCTGAAGGCTAAACATATAAAGAACGGTTGCTGGAATTGGGTAGGTCTAGTTCAATGAAGAGAAGGACAAGGGGGGACATGATAGCAGTGTTCCAATATCTCAGGGATTGCCACAAAGAAGAGGGAGTCAAGCTATTTTCCAAAACACCTGATGGCAGGACAAGAAGCAATGGATGGAAAATAATCAAGGAGAGAAACAACCTAGAAGAAATTTCCTGACAGTTAGAACAATTAATGAGTGGAGCACCTTGCCTCCAGAAGTTATGAATGACTCAACCCGGAAGTTTTTAAGAAGAGATTGGACAACCATTTGCCTGAAATGATATAGGGTTTTCTGCCTGAGCAGGGGGTTGGACCAGAAAATCTCCAAGGTCCCTTCCGACTCTTCTGCTCCAGCTCCAGCTCCAGCTCCAGCTCCAGCTCCTATTCTATTCTATTCTATTCTATTCTATTCTATTCTATTCTATTCTATTCTATTCTATTCTATTCTAGCATATAAAATATGGCACAGCAATATCTATTTGGACTTAGTGCTAAAATCAGAGTTTCTAACTGAAATGGAAATAGCTTTGTCCTGGAATATTGCTAGGAATTCTTCATACATGAACATACCTCCTCTCTCCTCTGTAGTTAACTAGAATTAATGAGCACATATTTATCATAGTGAGGAACAAAGGTAACAGGCTGATGCAAAGAAATGAATTCCCTAACCAATCTATACTCTTGCCCTGTTTTGATAGTTTTCATTGTTCTAGGTTTAGTAAGTGAATGCCAAGAGGACAAAAACATCTAGTAGGTCAAGGCTATCTAGCTTTTCCTTCATCCGCATAGTGAATTTTCCTTCTTACTTTCCCAGAGGGCACACGTTTAGAAGCAGCCGCAGTGGTACAGCTTATGTTGGAGGGATCTGCTCAGTGGCTAGAGGCGGAGGTGTGAATGAGGTGAGTTGGATTATGATGACTGGGACTGGAGTTTAAAGATACAGAATTAAAGCCTGCATGCTCTTCCAACCCTATCAAATTTGTCTGTTTAAAGATCTCAAGCTCATTTAGATTTCTCTTCTCATCTTGCAACTCCTGAGGCTTTGAAGATCCATTTCCAAAGCTTGTGAGATACTACTCTTCTGCCCTTTAAAACCCTTTCAGAATATCTACTTTCAGTGAAGCCTTGAAGATCTCAGTCTCCATACCCTAACTGAACTAATACCTGTGATTTTTGTCACTACATTTGCTGACATATACCCCTTATGCTTTCTGCTTCCCCCTCTTTTTTGCCTTCAGTCAACTAAATTTATATTGTAAGATCCTTGGGTAGTACCTCTCTTGTTTCTTTACATGCTTCTACAAAGAAGCCGATGTACTAATAGGGCGCTTTACATGTCAGTCTTAGCCAGGATTTCATTGTTCTTTGCAGAGAGAGGAAGGGTGGGGTGGAGTAGTTACCATGGAGCCTGTGAATAATCTGGGAAAGATCTGCCCTCAAAAATTTTAACATTTTTATGATAGCTGATCACTTCATATTCAGCTTACCCAATAACTTGTTATCCTCCTTCCCAAAGTATGGTACTGTTGGAGCCATGGCAGTAACATTAGCCCAGACCTTGGGTCAAAACATTGGTATGATGTGGAACAAGCACCGTGCTTCTGCAGGTAAGTAACTGTGTGATGAGCCAAGTGGAGAAAGTGACCTGAATAACGAGAACCTGAAAAGTGCTTAGTCCAGTGGTTCTCAACCTTTTTTACATCACAAACCCACTTTAAATATGTTTTGTGGCTACGGACCATGGCCACAGACTTCCAAGACTTAATTCAAGATTTAAATCATAACATTTCTTCAAGCCTATGATGACATCACAGCCCCCCTAGTGGACCGTAGACCATAGATTGCGAACCACTGATTGAGCCAACAATAATTATGAGGCTATGGTTTGCCTAAAAGAATTTATTTTAAAGAGATCTGGAACCCAACAGGCATTTTTATTATACTAGATTGAAGAACTATTCCATTCTCAAGCTTTGTCTCCTGTTCTGGAGAAACTTGAAAAGATAATTTTTAGGTTTCCAGTTTAGTACTCCATTATCAATGTTGGCTCTGCTCCGTTGTCTATATTGGCTCTGCATGATATTTTTCATGCATCATGAACATTTTAGTGTAAGTTGAGATTGTTTCTTTAAGGGTAACAGTCTCAGATTAGGGATTACTTTGTTCTGGTTTCCAATTTGGCAATCTCTACTTTAAAAGGTTCTGAGTGGATAAGCTGAAACTGAAATTGGGGCCTGACTCTGGGTTCATTAGGCTGTGGTTTACATTGTCAGTCCTCCAGATCTAAATTTGCTTTTCTTCCACATCCTCTTTGCCAGTGTATTGGCTGCTTCTTAAGGTCATGATCATAATAGTAGAATGGGTGAGCCAAGCCAGTTCTTTTGAGGTTAATAAGATAGGAACCTGGCTAAAGAATAAAATGTTACTGCAAAAAAAATTGCAGATGAACTTCTTGGAGATTCCTAGTTCAAGTTTTTCAACTAATTAACAGGTTATGCAAATGTGTGTGATATATGACAGATTACAAGTATTACAAATATTACATTTTTGGAGACCTCCTGAAATTGACTGAAACATTCTCTGATCTGTCTGGTATGTAACCTTCATCTGCATATTGAACCTGCCTTCCTCCCCTCCTCATTTCAGTTTAAAACTACATTGGACTAACTATTAATAGATATTATTAAGTCATTTGCAGCATTTTCTTTACTGGACATTATAAGCTATTAATAATATTAGCTGGATATTTGAAGAAGTGTTATTTGCGAAATAATACATATAGACAACAGGTTACATCCTCAAGAGGAAAATGAAGGAGAACAATGTATTAAAAATAAATGTATTAGAATACAACATTACTAAAAAAAAAAAAAAGGAGAGCACTAATATTTGTACATCCAAAAAAAAAGCCTTTGACAAGTTGGAGTGGCCTTTTTATTTGGCTTTTTTAAAAAAAAATGAATCCAAGACAAGAATTTAAAAATTGGGTGAATAACATACCAACAACAAGCTGCAAAGATTACTGCAATTTTTCCACAAGTAAAGCCATTGGGTAAGCGTGTTTACTTTCTCGTTATTTAGAACTGCTTTAAAAATTTTGGGAGACAAAACTTGGCGAGAAAAACACTTGAAATAAAAATTCATCAAGTTGAAATGCTATCTAGGTTATGTAGTACCAACCATGATGCAATCATCAGAAGAGAGTTGTCAACCTTTGTTAGGAAAGATTGCTACCAGATTTTTCTTGATATTTTTTCCAACATTAACATTTCCAAAATTAACATGGTCATCTTCTAACAACATCTAGTTCAGATTTTATAGAAAAAAATGGTTTAAGGCTTAATCTTAGAATGGGATGTTTTATTACAGACAGGGAGAAAATAAATGGTACTTGATGATTTCAGCTTTAGGAATATACAGTTCTGAGTTATAATTTGAAATAATGGATTCAGACAAAAAATGTGAACCAGCAATAGAGAATGTATATTTCCCATAATTCTTTAAAAGATATCTCTATCTTTTTTGTTGTTCCTTTTCTCTATAGGGGATTGTCGCTGTCCTGACTTATGGCTGGGTTGTATTATGGAAGATACTGGGTAAGTTGTAGAAGAAGTGAAGATCACATAAGGGCAAGGTGTTGGATTAATATTTGAAATCAGGAACCAAGGATTTATTAAAGTATCCCCCAAACTGTTTAGACCTTAACTTTACATCTTGCTGGCATCATAAAACTCACTTTGATTGATTATTGTTAAGTTCATCTATTTCCCTTTCAAGCTGGCTTCAGAAGAAAGCAGGTAGCACTTTATGCACAGGAAAAAGAAAGATACATCTGTTCAATTTTCCTTTTTTAGTAATCTGACATCTGCTACATCTGGTTATCTTGTCAGTTTTTAAATTCAGTTCTCTTATCAGCCTTCCCCCTATCCACCCCTGCTCTCTTTCTCAAAGAAAGGAAAGGAAACTTGTGTCACTAATAGACCCTCGCATGGGCCAGAAAACATCCCACTTAAGCCTCTGGCATCAACTGAAAACAAATTCAAGATGCAAATGTACAGTTATATAAATGATCTTGCATCTAACTGAGCTTAGAAAACTTTTAAAATAATTTTTACTAGATATTACAACCATGCAGATAAAAACTAATAGAAACTACAAAAAATAAAAATAAAAAATAAAGAAAGTGTAAGAGAAAAGAAAAAAATATAGAGCAGAAAAAATATAAAATATAAATATAAAAATATAAAGTAAATAAAAATGTTTTTAACAAATCATCATCTTCTTTTAACTGTAAATAACTGTAAAAAGAAACTAGGATTCCTAGTGCACAACCACTGAAATATAAGCCAGCATTGCTGCAGCTTCTAAAAAAATCCAATGCAGTCCTAGACTGCATCAACAAATCAGGATCACATGAAATGTTAGTACTGTTTTATACTGCCTTGGTAAGACCACACTTGGAATAATGCCTCCTGTTTTAGTCATCACGAGGCAAAAAGGATGAGATTCTAGAAAAAGTGCAGAGAAGAGCAACAAAGATGATTAGGGGACTGGAAGCTAAATGTACGATGAATGGTTACAGGATCTAGATTTGTCTAATTTAACGAAGAGAAGGACTATGAATGAAGCAATAGCAGTCTTCCAATATTTGAAGGATTGTCACAGAGAAGAGGAGGTCAACCTATTTTCCAAAGCACCTGAAAGCAAGACAAGAAACAATGGATGAAACTAATCAAGGGGAGCAGCAACCTAGAACTAAGGAGTAATTTCCTAACTGTGAGAGCAATTAATCAGAATGGCTTGCCTCCAGAAGTTATGGGTACTCCACCACTTTTTAAAAGAGATTGAGCAGCCATTTATCCAGAATGGTATTACTTCATCTCTTCAAAATCTCTTCAAAAAATTTTTTTCTGATTCTGTTGAATTAAAAAATTATTTCACTATGGATTGAAGGGAACTCACCCTATGAATATCATGAAACTTGGTGTTCCAAGGGTTCTTAATATTTAAAAAATAGTAAAAAAAATAGTTCCAGAAATTATTAAGAGATGAGATCCTAATCAGCAAAAGTCTATTGAGAGTTACCCAAAATACCAGTATATCTGTTTTAAATTTAATCCAAAAACACACTTTATAATACCCGTTTTCCTTCTGTATCTCATGTTTTATCTATAAAGAAATCCCATAAACCTCATTATCCAATCATAATAAGTGAAAAATCTATTAGGTTTATTTTATCTTGTTAAGGTGACAAACATATAATATTTCTTCCTCATATTTTCCCGACAGCCACGTTGTGAGGTGAGTTGGGTTGAGAGAGAATAACTTACCCAAAATCACCCAGCCAGCTCTCATGCTTTTCCTGGATGCAGGAAAAGACCACATCTTTATATTAATATTACTTAAAATACATGTTATATTAATATTGCTTAAATTACATAAAATACAAAATAAATTATTTTTTCCATATCTCTTATCTGAAAATAGAACCTTAAAACCTCTAGTTAGCAAAAGTCAATTAATGATTTTCAGACAATGCATCTATTTTAACCATGATCAATAAACCTACTTCATATTTGTTCTGTTTCTGTTTGCAGACAGACACATGCAGGCAGTTGCTATGGAGATAAGCAGTTAATAGTTGACCAGATTGCAAATCAGGGTCTATGCAAAGAGAGCTTGCCTGAATAAATCACTCTGAAGTTCAAGCAGCAATAGAGTGATCCAAAATCATTCCAAGAATCAGAGTACTGAGTCAGGTAGATAGCCAGTCCAAAAGTCAAAGGTTCAAAAATAAGTTACAGGGGAATAATTATCACAAACTAAGAATCCAAATGGTTGTTTACAACAAAAATTAAAGGGAAAGTAGATACATAAATCTATCTGCAGTTGGCTGCAATTACTCAGTTTTTGTCCTTTATCTAGTGAAAAGCCTCATTCACTGGCTTTGGTCCACTGGCCATTGCTTATGTCAAGCCTTGGGGCTTGGGGGTCATGCCTCATCATCTGACTGCTCCAACTGATGAGGAGATTCATATGATTGCTCAGCCTCTTCAGTTGAATTTTGACTTGAAGATTTCTGAGGCTAACAATCCATAGACTCAGCTGGAGCAACGTTGTCAGAGTCTGAATCTGAATCCTGGCCCATGACAATATTCCTTCCCCTTATTTTGTACAATTTTAGTTTTTAATCCCCTCAAATAATGTCCTAGAACTTGGGGGGGGGGGTTTCATTATTTTTGTCTCTTCTTAGAAAACTTTGAAACTTTATTAGATCTCTTTCTTAACAGTTTGATTTTTTTCATTTTTGCTTTCTCTTTTATCACAGAATTTACTTTCATTTGTACATTTGTATTTTATCTCCTTCCCTATCATTGTTGTAATTTGTCATTTCCAGATTTATATTTAAATCAGTTTCAATCTTATCTAGTAAAACTCGTTCCTCTTCCACAATATCATTTACAATCTGTTTATCTATAATAGTCAATATTTTTAAAGTAATTTGAGTCCATTATTCCCAAATATCTTAGGGTAAATTAATCTGATGTTAAAATATTTTGTTCCATTCTTGGTGAGTAATTTAAATATTTCTCCTTTACATGCAATCTTTAATACCTTCTGATCCCTTTAATGTTCAAAGTTCAAAGTCCCATCTTACCATGTTTATATTAGAATCTTTTTTAAAAATCAGCAGTTTGTCGTGGAAAGGATTCATATAATTAACTAGACAATCTGTGACCTGTTGGATCATTCTTTCAGATATAATCATGAGTGCAGAGGGATTGATAGATATTGGGTAGGTATAGGAGACAAGATAGAGAGATTCCTTATTGGCTTTCTCTCTGCAAACTTCCCAGGAAGAAAGTTGCAAGACCAAATCTGCTGCCACATTTCTACCATCAGCCACAGTCACATGATCCTCTTTGACTTTCTCCTTGCAAACTTCCCAGCCTTCCCCATTGACTTGTGGGAAAGTGTCAGAGAATGTTACGAATGAGTATCGTGACTGTACAGCAGTACAGTGCCAATGTGCTGAAATTGCAAGAACTTGCCAAAATTTAATTCCCGTGGGAATAATATGTCCTGGCATTTTGTATGTTAGCTTTGTAAATAGGTTGAAAAAGTTTGGCCCTGTGATGCATCATTTTGCCCAATTAAAATTCACAGACACAAGAGTTTTAGTAGTGGATACATTTAGAGTCTTATTTCACCTTTATCTGGATCTTCAATATGTTTATAACTTTCCAAAATCAACGCTCTAATCACCCTTTTCCTATCTACTCCAAAAAGGAATTTTTCTGAGTCTTTAAATTCATATTTTAAAATTCTTTGGATTGAAAGAGACCACCAAATGAATTCCATGAAACCTCTGTGCCATTCCAATAGTTCTCAATATTTAAAAAACAGTAAAAAAAATCCAGAACAGATTAAAAAATGAAACTAGTCAAACTTAAAGTCCTTAAAGGCAATATTGTGAGCCTGATGAACTCCCTTGACTTCTAATTGCATAACACACAAGTGGCCACAGAAACATTTGTTCCTGCCGTCCATACACCAGTAACAGCTATCTGGAGTATGTAAGGGCAATCTCGCAATCTCTTCTTTCTCTGGAGAGTTTTCAGTAACTCAGATCCAGTTTTCAGCTGCCAATTCAGCTGTAATGTTATCCCCCTGTTCAGGAACATCCATTTTTCATTGGAAGTCTCCATACCAAGAAAATCTTTTACCTTCTTTGACATTTCATTGGGTTTTGATCTTCTATTGGCTCTCTTCCTAACAACACAGATACTACTTGCCACGGAAATTTTCACGCTGCAGTGTTGATGAATTCAATCAGTTTCTGGCTGAAGGAGGAGGAAGCTGTCTCTTTAACAAGCCTTTGAAGGTAATATTAAAACACTTTCACTTGATCACAATTGTAAATAAGAATTACTTCCAGACAACATTTTTCATATCTTCTTTCTTTGCACTTCCTGGAACTATAGTCAAACAAAATTCTTGTTTTGTGATCAGAATATAATAAGGTAGGACCATATCTAATTATGGAACTTTAATAGGTGATACTACTTCTCAGCAGACCTCGTGGAATTATTGAAAAGATCATTTTTTTAGAAAAAAGGCAACAATCAAATGATATTGCACTTCATAATTGTTTTCTTGACAACAATATGAAAGTAATTTGCAATTTGGAGTTTTTTTCACTTTCCCATACTGCTCTTCAGTTTTGTGATTTTTGGGGGGCAGTCTCCCATTTAAGCCTCATTTATTTTTTGAAGACTTGTCATCAACATGTGTTTCATAGGCTTCAGCCAATGCATTTTATACGTCTCTGCTGTAAGTAAGCTTGAGAGACTTTCATAAAAATACAGGGTTGACTTCCTTCCCAAACATAATCAAAATGTAACTCCAGTATTTTTTATTCCATAAAGATCTTTAAATTAGGGTAATAGTACTAAATATTAGGTCAGATTCATAATGAAGGTATGAGCTCTTTCTTAATTAATCAAAGTCCCCAGAATTCAAAGTCATTTCGACACCTTTTGCTGTTCCTGTTAGATGCAAATAGTTTGTACTGTTTCCTATATTTTCAATCAGGATAGAATAATCCCGTAGATTAAGATCAAGGTTGTAGCAAAACTAAATAGGTGAAATGTTGACAGTTTTATATTCCAAAGACCAAGATCCCCAACTTTTAAAACCTCATTGGTGCAATGGCTTTGCTTGAATGGTATTGTACCTACCTTGCCCTGAATAAGCCAATAAATTAATACATCTCTTGGAAGAGAACTATCCGGCGTATATAGATATTGAAGGAGAAGCCATTTATCTTAACTTCTGCTCCACTTCAGGAAGGATATAATAATTTTAGGCGTTTATGAAGTACTATAACAAATTGGTTCCCAAAGAATATATGGCACGTTAACTCCCAAAATTCCTTCGCCTTGCTATTATGTCATAATTCTGAATAGCATTTTATCATAAACAGTATAGTGTCATTCTGAGTTCAGTTTGCTTAAATTATGGTCCCATATCAGATGTCAATTGGTAAAACAACAGAGGAATTTTTCTTAAGAAATTGATGTTTACCTTTAAAAAAAAATTACTTTCACTTTCATTGTTGATTTCTCAAATCTACCCTGTCCCAAAATGGAAACATAAAAAGAAGAAATTACAAGAGAGCTTCTTCATCTCCATTTTCAACTGCAAATGAGTAGAAGAAAATGTTATTAAATGATGTCATGGAACCTTCTAATGATTCCATTTCCTTTAACAATATCTCATTAACACAGCTCCTTGACCCTCCTGAATGTGGTAATGGATTTGTTGAAACAGGAGAAGAATGTGACTGTGGGTCCTTTGCGGTAAGCAACAACTGGGGCTAAAAAAAGGTGCCATCTGACTCAAAGTAATATTACTACTAGTAACATTATTTTGAATTCTGCCAGGCTTTGAATTCTGAATTCTGTTTTATGCATGCTGGAGAATGTCTTTTATTTTATCAGAGATTGGAGTAGTTCAGAATCAGACAGCTCTCTTATCAAAGGGCAATTTTTCTTTTTCTTCAGAATGTCATGATCCATAAAAGTTGGGATAACCCCGACATTAATGCTGGATAGATTCAACCAGCATCTTTTTGTTTTGCTTTAGTGTTGTTCAAAATCCACAAGAACAAACATCATCTGTTCATGAGATATGTGTCCCAAAAGAAAATGTCAGTAAAAACTAGCAACCAACATTAGGGAAATTATAAACAATATAGCTATTTCAACTGGTAAAAGGAAAAAAGAGCTTTTTTGAGAATTGATTAAATCTGCATAATTTGCAAAATAAAGCAACATATGTTAAGAAAACTTGCAAATTCAAGTTTTCATATTGGAAACTTCATCTTCCTGCTGTATTCAAATGGTGGTGGTGAGTTTGAAAATAAAACCAAAATCTCTAAAACAATGTTAGTTAAGATATAAAAAAATTGAAGCTGTACTTTTCTTATTTCAACTTTGATCCGAAATTCCAAGCAATATTAAATCTATTGTTTTTCTTTTCTCAAAGGAGTGTTCCAAAGGTGGAGGAAACTGCTGCAAGAAATGTACCCTTACGCACGATGCCATGTGCAGTGATGGGTTGTGTTGTCGAGAGTGCAAGGTAAACAAGTTGGAATGGGACCTTTATCCCTTGATTCTGTGTCCATCTCTCACCAGTTTTAAGCAAAGCTTCCTTTCTTGGGAGTTATACAGCAGGGCATCATCTGTGCTTGCATGTCAATGCTCCCTACATAAAGCAAATTGTAATCAGGCTAGGCCACAATTTGATACTCGGTGTCAGTGCACATATTTTGAAATGGCTCAGATGTGCAAGATTTCCTACAAAATATTTCTGAACAGCTAAAAGCATTATAGTTTACATAAATCATGGGGGTGAGGGGGTAAATTGGGTTCAATCTCCCCCTTAACCAAATCTTCGCCTGCCTAATTTCAGCAGCCTCACAATGTCACATATTCCCAACTCATGGATGGAACCCTGTGCATGTATGTCTGCGCACATTTAATATTTAAAGCACAAATTTGTGGATGGATTTGGTAAAATGCTGAGACATGCTTTCTTTTCCCTTTTGTTGCAAGGAGAAAAATTAGGATTATGAAGAGCAGCAAACCCTGCTGCTCCTTCCATGGTGCTAGGGATAATTTGGTTCTCCTCTTTTCCTGCACTGAGAGTAGAAAAAAAGATAAAGTTAGAGAAAGACTTCACATGATGTATTGTTTTGTTTTTCCCTTGCCAACTAATATTAAACTCCATTTTTATTTTTCTCCCATTTTCTACCATGAAGTATGAGCCACGGGGTGTAACTTGCCGAGAAGCTGTGAATGAATGTGATATCCCAGAAACTTGTACTGGGGACTCCAGTCAGGTAAGTTGGGGAAATTATAAGGAATGTGATTTACAAGTAGATTGGGGGGGGGGAAGCATTTTAATCTACTAGTCAAGATACCCATGTTTTGCTGGTTTCTGTGCACAACATCTGATTGCATGTAGTCTTCATTATTGAAAATTTTTTTTATCTAGAATTTAAATTTCTAAAAAAGAAATGTGGATAATATTGGCTTGAAAGCATGTTCGTTTAAAATGGGTCCCTACCTTTTCTAGTCTTCCTAACTTGATGCTCTAAATATGTATCATGTTGACTGAGGATTATGGAATGATAGCTAGTACATCTGGAGAGTAGTAAGTTAGGGAAAAAAGCCTTTTACCTGTTTTCTTGAGTTGTATTTATCTATATTTTGTCCTTTCTGATATAATTCTCTTTTTTTCCCCTGTAGTGTCCACCTAATGTACACAAACAGGATGGCTACTTTTGTGACAATGAACAGGTATAGTTGGTATGTCAGTTTCATAACTAGAATTCCTGGAATTGCAGGAAGTATGGGAGGAAAGATTAATTGCAGTTGGACCCATCTGTCAATTCCAATAAAAGAAATACCCTTGGAAAAGTCTAATTAAATCAGACTGAACAAGGAGCAAGTTTCTCAATGGTTATTTAAACAAACAAATAAGTAAAGGTTAATGCAGAGTTTTAAAGACACATCTGAATTGTCAAGTCCCAATGGGTAATAAAACATGCAAGCTGAGTGGTTCTTGCATAAGCCTCTAACAAGTCCCATTTTCGGCTCCATAGGGCCGGTGTTATGGAGGCCGTTGTAAAACCAGGGACCGCCAGTGCAATGCATTGTGGGGGCGAGGTAAGTAGCTATTTACTCTTAGAAAATAATCATCATAACTGATTTGCAAAATGTAAGTAGCCAGTACACTGCAGAAAAGATTTTTTGAATCTCTTTGCAGCCATCTAATAGTAATGCAAACCTTAATAGACGAGACTATAAAATATAGTGGCACTTCAATATTCTGGAGACAGAATTGTCCTCAGGTTAAGGAAAATTTATTTATTCTGTTATTCCTTAACTGAGGTACAGTTTGATTCTCTTCTTTTATATATAGCAGTTTGCTAAGCAGACTGCTTGAACTCTGTTCTGGAGGCTTTTTGCTAGCAGCTTTCTTTGGAGATAGTTAATTGCTTGAATGAGTGAGGGGAACAGGAGATGCCCCTATAGCCATTTCTATGCTAATTGTAATCACCCATTACTAGCAGATCACTTATCAGAAAACACCAGCATTTTTGTTTGTTTTTCCATCACTGTTTGCACAGCACAAACTATTTAATCTAGAGAAAGAGAGGTAGGTTTGGGGTGAGATGAAATCCATTGTCTTCAAAATTCATCCATCCGTAGACCTAGTTTTCAGTAACACCAGGCAATTTCATTCTGAGTAGCTATGCTTGACTTTTACTCTTTCTTGTATCCATTTTCTGATTTTTCCAGTGCCAAATGAAGAAGCCAGAGGTGTGAAGTTTGCATTATTTCAAGGGATTAGAAAATCATAGTGTGGGAAGGGCCACTTAGGCCAACTCCCTACTCGGGGCAGGTATCCAAATTAAAACATCCCTACCATATGGCTCACTTTCATACTAGCAGATGGAATGAATGAGAACTCATCACCTCTCTGGATAATTGGCTTCACTATCAAACTGTTCCTTACTTTCCCCCTCCCCTAACATTTAATCAGCATCTGGTTTTAATTCATTATTTCATGTCCTGCATTCTGAAAGAACAGAGAACAAATTTCCCCCTTCTGCTGACATACTTTTAAATATTTGAAAGGAAATATCTTATGTTCTCCCATCTTCACTTTTCAGGATTAACCATGTACAGTTCCTTCAATTTCATTTCATAAGAGTTAATTTTAGTCCCCTTTTAATCCTCTCCCTGCTTTTATGAACCTGTTTCTGTTTATCTGAAGCCTTCTTAAAGTATGGTATCCAGAATCAAACATAACATTTAAGGTGGAGTTTGGCCAATGTTGCAGAATAAAGTGGAGCTTTGATTGTTATTACTTGGAAACTATACGTTAGTAAATGCAATCTAAAACTGCATTTAATTTTTTCTTTTTGGTGGGCGGCACTAACATTATACTGCATATTCATATTTGAATTACAATCAGCTATCACTCCAGTAAATACTAATATTCAACATTCTATAGCTATGCTTCCTAACTTAAAGAAGTTTTGTTTCCTAACTTAATATGCATTAAGTCTCGTATTCTTATTTTCAGCAATTTCTTTATGCTATCAAGATTATTTTGAATTTTATTTCTGTCTTCTATGGCAGTTTCCCAGTTTTGTGCAAATTTGATCAGCATCTCCTCTTCATCCCTTGATAAATAAAAATATAGTAAGGGCCCAAGACTGGTCTTACAACATACATCTTTCTATTTTCATGAGATATCATTGATGAGCACTCTTCTATGTACTTAATTGCCATGTCATCCATACTGTGGTTTACTAGATAGTTAATTAAATGCCATGGAGTATTTTGTCAAGTACTTTTCTGAAATAAAAATAAATTAATTCTGCAGCAGTCCCCAAAACACTTACGAATTTATCCAATAAAAGTGAGATTTACTGTATCTGGCAAGAAAAATAAGTAATTATCAGACTGTTTTAAAAGTGCTCACAAAATTCATTATTTTATTGTCTGCTTTAAACTCTCCTATATTAGTGTCCAAATAACTTTTATGTAATCTTTCCCCTCCTCCTTGGAGTAAAACATGCTCTTTTCCAGCCATACGGCACTTCACCTATTCTCCAAGATCTCTCAAAGATAATGCATTGGCCAGACCCTCAGTAAATTTCTTTAATATCCTAGGATACAATTCATCTGGTCCTGGAGATTTAATGCAAAGTAACAAATAATGCCAGACTGTGCTTTCATCAGTCTCATGCCTCAGTCCTGCCTCTTCATTCTGCTCTTCACAATTTTCTGGGTCAAAATGTACCTTCTTGGTGGAGAAGATGAAGTCAGATGGGCAACTCGTCTGTTAATTCTTTTTTCTTTTTTTTTATTGAAAATTTTTAAAGTTTTACAATAAAATACTCCCCCCTCTCACCCCCCCCATCACCCTTCCCCCTCCTTCCCAGAGCTGAATACAGGGTTAAAAAAAACATACAACTTAAATGAACATCAAACAATTATACATACATCCAAGAAACAAGATTTTAAATACATTAACTCCAATATATAAAAACAAAAATTCTAACCATCATATTTTTAGATAGTATTTTAGTTTTATTATTATTAACTTTAAAACCGGAAACTTGTCCAAATTGATTTATCAACTGTAACAACTCCAATACAGAATAAGTTGGTTGAGACAAGGTAACAACCAAATCATCTGCAAAAGCTTTTAATTTATAATCATTCTTATTAATCATTATTCCCTTTATTTTAGATGATTCACAAATTTTAATCAACAAAATTTCCAACATTAAAACAAACAACAAAGGAGACAATGGACAACCCTGCCTTGTGCCCTTTCCAATTTGAAAAACCTCAGATAAACCTCCATTAATTATAATTTGTGCCGATTGTTTTTGATAAATGCCTCGAAGAGCTTGCAAAATTTTATCTCCAAAATTCATCTCTTCAACCAACCTTAACATAAATTGCCAATTTAACTGATCAAAGGCTTTCTCAGCATCTAAAAAAATCAGTCCTGCAGAAATCTGATTATTTTTATCCAAATATTCTATTAAATTAATAATTTGTCTAACATTATTTTCATATATCTCCCAGATATAAAACCTGTTTGATCAGTATGTATCACTTGATTCAATACTATCATAAGTCTATTGGCTAGAATTTTTGAAAAAATTTTATAATCTACATTCAAAAGAGATATAGGTCTGTAATTTTTAGGTAAAGTAAAATCTTGATCCTCTTTTGGAATCAGAGATATAAAAGCCCTTCACCAAGATGGGGGAGTCTCTAAGCCCAATAATATATTATTAAAAAGTTCCTTTAAGGGCTCTATCATCTCATCACTTAAAGTCTTGTAATAAATTGATGTCAATCCATCAGTGCCAGGTGCTTTACCAGCTTTTAATTGTTTAATTGCCATAATAATTTCCTGTGAAGTAATCAATCCATTGATCTCATTTCTTTGATCATCTGATAACTTGGGAAAATGAGCATCTTGTAAATATTTATCTATATCTAAACTCTGTACCTTCTTACCCATATATAATTTTGTATAAAAATCTAAAAAAGATTTTTTAATCAATTCCTTCTGAAAAACCACTTTACCATTATAATTTATTTTATCTATAATTCTCGACCTCTGTTTCTTCCTTAATTGATAAGCCAACCACCTACCTGGCTTATTTGCATTACAAAATGTATTATGTTTCATATAAAGTAAATTAGTTGCAGCCTGATCAGCCATTAACATATTAAACTGTGTTTTAAGCAAATTTATAGAAGCCTTTACATTCTTATCCAAAGGATTCAAAATTAATACTTTTTCTTTTATTTTAATCTCATCTTCCAATTCCTTACGTTTTGCATCTGTTTTTGTCTATGAAGCCTTATTCATTTGAATCAGAACCCCACGCATATAAGCCTTACTAGCATCCCAAACCATTGCCATTGAGGTTCCCTTATGCATATTTAAAATAAAATATTCCTTTAAATACTCTCTAAGTTTCTGAACATTCGCCTCTTGTCTAAATAAATTTTCATTCAACCTCCAAGATCTTCTCTCCTCTTTCTCAGCAACCAATTCCATCCATACAGGACTATGATCTGTCAATGACCTTGGAAAAATCTTTACATTTTTAACCCTAAAATATAAATCCGTTGTAATCAGAAAAAAAATCAATTCTTGAAAACGATTGATGTCTGTCAGAAAAAAAAGTGAAGTCTCTCTCTTCCATATTATGTTCCCTCCAAATATCTCTCAGTTCCAAATCATCTTTCAAATCAAAAAAGGCCTTAGGTAGTTTAGCTTGCTTGAAAGAAGTAGAAAATCCTTTCTTATCTCTATGTGTATCCAAAACTCCATTCCAATCCCCCATCAAAATAACAGATCTATAATCCAATGAAATCAATTTTTGATGTAAAAATCTATGGAACTGTTCTTGTTGTTGATTAGGAGCATACAAACCCACTATAAGCAATTTCTTGCCATACATTCCCACTTCAATCATAACATATCTCCCTTGAGGATCAGGATCTATTAATACAGCTGACAATTTTTTCTTAACATAAATGACAACACCTCCTTTTTTCCCAGGAGCAGAAGATACAAAATGAGAACCCAATCGAGCATTAATCAAATATTTTTGATCCTTTAAAATAATATGGGTTTCCTGCAAACAAACAATGTCATTATTATATTGCTTCAAATAATGAAATATTTTCTTCCTTTTCTGTGGAGAATTAAGGCCATTAACATTCCAGGTCAGGAGCTTTACCATCTCCTCTATCCATTAGCCTGGAGAAGACTGCTTGAAGATCTACCATCGAAGATTGAACCAATGAAGATCTCTTAGGTCTTGCTCCTCCCACAGGCTCAGAAGCAGATTCTTGTGTAACTTCTTTAATTTCCTTCTTCTGTTGCTCCTTTTCTTTTCTTCTATAAGCTGCTCGGGTCATTCTCTGTTCTTTCATCTCAACAGACTGCTGTAACCACTCAGCCTGTAATTTTCCAGCTTTCATTGATACAGCATCTTCAGCCAACTGCTCTCCCTCCTTCACTTCCAAAGCTTTAAACATTGAAGGTGGTGATGAGCGTGCTCCCAGGACCGAAATATAAAATATCATAGCTAAAGAAACTTTTTTTTTATTCTCAGACTTCTTCATTCACCTCAGCATATTCTGAGTTTTAGCTTTCCTAACATACTTTCTTGGGTACCAGACTACTAGAATTGTTTGCAGTTATGTGTTGAATACATCCTTTTTAGGAACATATGTTCATTTGGTGCTTCTTTTCCCATTAATTTCCCTTACAGTGGAATTCCACATAATTTAATTGAGTGTATTAAAATCCATTTTGTTCTTTTGTATCTAGTGATAACAGGAAAAGATACTGACTGCTCAGACCAGAATAAGGAGGACAGTGTCAATGGAATAGGGATTTTGTGTGTTTGTGTGCATGCGCATATGTTGTATATGCATAGTTCTGAAGTGACCAAAAGGAGCTTCACTGATTCCACACCTAATTGTGAAGTGTGTCGTTTGTATATATGGCAAAAAAAGTATTAGGATATGATGGAAAGTACAGCTTAAATACCAGAAGTGTTAAAGAAAATTGAATGTTGCCTAGAATAGGGGCTGGGGATCAAATGAAGACCATAGCACGACTACAAAGCAATAAAAAGAGTTGTCAGAGCTTATTTATATTGCAGTTACATACAAGAGGAAAAGGTCCTAAATTTTCCTTGCTGCTTAATGAATCTTATGGAAGTAATTAAAGAAAAAGTCCATAACCATACCACAGCTATAGATATAATTTTAATGGACTTAATTTGAAGTTAACAATTTGGGTCCCTCAGTTTGGCTACTAATTGAAATTGGCACTGCTATGCATTGTTGCTTTATTCTGAATTAACACAGAAATTCCCAACTGAACTGTAATCTTGGAAGATCCTAGCCTTGTTCTTTGCGTGCACCAGAGATATTCACCATTACCTTTGCTTATTTCAACTTCTGCCAACCATTTTAACTACAAACAGAAACATAGCCAAACATAGCCAAGAAGACAAATGAATCTATTTGTGTATTTACCATATTTAACATCGTGTACGTATGTTGTGCTTTATAGAAAACTAGAATTTCTACGTATTCCAGCAATAATCTAATTTAAAACACCTATGCATATACAAAGAAAGGACTGAAATATGCAGGGGAAGAATATGTGATTATTTCAGTGACGTCTACTTTGCCTTGATAAGGCTTCTTCCAGAACCCAATAACTTCCAGATGAATTGGATACCAATTCCTACCATTTGTCAGGAGAGGACAGGAACTAGTTTTGATTTACAATATTTGGAGGGTCTCAGATTATGATAGATTGAATAAAATATAGCAATTAGAGAATCTGGAAATGTTGAAGATGGATTTAAACAGAAGAGGGTACATACCATGAACACAAAAACAGCAGAACAGAAGAATAGGAAGAAAAGGGGGGGGGGGACAGGAGACAAAATACATTCCATCCACATCAGCACCAATCCTTAGGGATTACTGGATAATCTGCCTTTTTATCCACCCAGATTGCCTCATGATTCTAGATAATCCAGCCTTTTCTCCTGGCTATAGCTATAGCTAAGATGATGTCTTCATAGCACCAATTAGCAGAAAAAGATAGGAACTTGATTTGGCACCATTTATCCATTATTTACCGAAGCAATTTTTATTCAGTTCTTCAAACTGAAAAGATTTGGGAAGTTTGAAATGCAATAAAAAACAAAATGTTTTCATCTTAGATAGCAAAATGAACCTTATAAATAATTCCAACTAACGAATCTGACTTTTCAATTCTGAAAGTTTAAACCCTTAAATGTTAACACAAAGCCCCATAGACCAGGTTTGCACAAGGCATAGCATGAATATTCTGGTTTTTTTTCTGGCATTGTTTGCACATTTCCCTTTTTAAGGATAGAAATCTTTTACTTGAAAATAGTGTTTTAAAAATCTTAAACACTTTTGGAATTGACCAATGTTATACATCAAAAAGCTAGGCAAGTAGAAAACATCCAGATGTATAATAAAGAAATTATTTAATTAACTAAGTTCCTTCCTAAGCTTCTCCATGCACCAGCATAATTGCTGATCTAGTGATAGAATTTATTCTTTCATTATCAAATATAGAATATTCTTCTGTATTCAATATGTGAAATCCATGGCTATTATGCTCTTTGGCTTGCTCTTATTCTCTTTCTCACTTTCCTTCCTGTAAATCAAGCTTCAGCTGAAAGGTTTTGCTATGAGAAGCTCAATGTTGAAGGCACTGAGCGTGGGAACTGTGGGCATGAGGGGAGCCGCTGGATGCCCTGTGTCAAGCAGTGAGTAATCTGAGATTTCTCCCTTTTCCATAATATCCTTTCCCATAGTATATTGAATCACACCACATGGGGAAGTTACTAGAAAGCCACAAACTATAAGCTGAGGCAGAAGCCAGTCTTTTTAAAAATATGTTATGGTTCTCTCCTCCCATTCCAATTAGGGATGTATTGTGTGGATATCTTCTCTGTGCCAATGCGACAGGATCTCCACGTATTGGTGAATTACTAGGCGAGATCACAACAATGACATTCTATCACCAGAAGAAATATATTGATTGCCGGTAAGTGGAGGGTCTTGCACTTTAAGACCCAGCTTCTTCATTCATGCCAACTTGCTGGAGAATTGGAGAGATGACAATAGGAATGTTCTGGGCTGCAGATTGATCCCCTCTCACCATAGAATAAGTTTCCAAATAATTTTGGGGAATGTCCTTCTGCCAATCACAATCCTGAAAGTATCAGGGATGTAAATATAAGGCAATAGAATGAAGGGGGCTATTTTAAAAAAGTGCCTGTTATCTTTTCTTCCTCAAATGTTTCACCAATGTAGGCATGAACAAAAAGATTTTAAAGGACATTGAAATATTTCTTCACTCAATGGAGCTTTTCTTCCTCCCCCCTCCAGGGGTGGCCATGTGCAACTAGTGGATGGCACAGATCTGAGCTACGTAGAAGATGGGACACCTTGTGGACCCAACATGTTGTGTCTTGATCACAAATGCCTTCCTGTCTCTGCCTTTAACTTCAGTATCTGCCCAGGCAGCTGGGGTGGCCAGATCTGCTTCGACCATGGGGTAAAAATTATAAATAAAGTTGTGTTTTCTGCTTCCATTTAATAATAATGCAAAAAAGAGAAAGAAATTTATCATTTAGCAACTAATTTGCCAAGTATGATCTATATAAATGCCAACTTTGTGCACTTGTGCACTTGTTTCTTGGCTTTATTTCCTTGTGGATTAAATATTAAAGAAAAAATAGGAATACTCAAAATAGGAGCATGTCTTTCTTAAATATTCCTGAAGTTTATTTATTTATTTGTTAGCCACCCATATTGCCAAAGTTGGCAAGTAATCAGGGGTCATAGAAAAAGCCAATTATGATTTAATGATTACATGCAGTTAACATTCATCTACAGTAATATGGGATGCCAACATAAAACAAAATGATTATTCCATTGCAAAACAGTCATTCTTCAGCATTATTAAATAATATTGAATTATTTTTGGTGCATTGTGGGAGTTTCTATTTTTCTCTTGAAAGCTTCATTTTTGTCATCTCATTGTGTAATAGTACTTATTGCAGAAAGTGAACACATAAAAGTTTCTGGAAAAAGATCACAGGAATGGGTTTGAGGAGCCCCACAAAAAGCCTCTTGCTTAATTACAGGTCTGCAGCAATGAGGGCCAGTGCATCTGCTATTCAGATTGGACAGGAAAAGACTGCAGTGTCTATGATCCTATCCCAGAGCCTAAGCCTACTGGGGAAACAGAAAAATACAAGGGTAAGTTTGTGGGAAGGAACTACTTTGCAGACAGCCAGAACACTCAACCAATTAAATAAGTAATCAAAAAGGTTTCTTGCAGAAACCTTATGTCTATCCAAAAGCCCTTCAGCCATTTTCCATTTTGGATCAACTCCTTTATCTGTCCTGGTATTTCCTGATTTTTCTGAGAAAAGGAGTGAAGAATTCAAGAATCTTCCAGGACTGGAGAAACTTGCAATATTTATTGCAAGATGAGTTTGATGTGGCAATATTCAAATAGCCTTCTTTTCTGCCTTCTTCTTCACTTCTTGGGAACTGTTCTAATATTCCCCTGTTCCTATTTTCCTATTTAAAAACAATCCCTTTTTTTGATTTCCAGAAGTTTTATATGTTTTCACTGTAATTATTAAATTAGGATAGTCCTGTTGTACAACTAGGTTCTGCCCATTATGCTGCATATCAAGAATACAAACCAATGTAACACAGTTTATTTTTTGTCCCCTCTTTCTCCACAGGTCCCAGTGGTACCAACATCATTATTGGCTCCATTGCTGGAGCCATCTTGGTGGCTGCTATTGTTCTTGGTGGCACCGGATGGGGATTTAAGTAAGCAGCATCAATATGCACATGTTGTGCTTCTCAAATCGCTGTGCCCTTGGGCTAATTTGTCTTGAGGACTTTCTCTCTGTTGCATGTATTCCAGGTGCCTTTTGCATTTTGGCACTTATTTGTGAAAAGGGGAATTGAGCCCAGATATAGTTTTGGGCTGAAGGGGAGGATCCTCTTCAGAGTGGAGTCATACGAGTATTCCACAGATAGTCCTTGACTTATAATTATTCACTTAATGACTATTTGAAGTTTCAATGAGCTTTCCAGGAGCTACTTATAACTCATTTTAAAATTTACAAAGCTACACTCATCCCCACAGTCATGTGATTGCAGTTTTGAGTGCATGACAACCAGTTCACCTTTGTGACTGTTTGCACCATCCCCCAGTCACATGACCATGATTTGTGACCTTTTTTTTCTGATTTCTGGCATTTACTTCTAGTTTCCAGCAAAAAAACACCCATTGGGGAAAATGGATTTGATTAGTGACAGCCACATTTGCTTAATGATCACAGTATTCACTTAATGACCAATGCAAAAAGAGTAAAACAACAACAACAACCAGATCTGATCAGATAATGCAATGACTTCTGGCTGAAATTCCAGGCTCAATTATAGTTGTAAATCAGGGACTACCTGTACTAAAGGTATCATGCAACAAAAATGGTATTGGCAAGCTTGTTTCCATGATGCAAAACTTTCTCATGATAGTACAGTAAAAGCATGGATATTCTTGAGCTATCTATGTCTGACTACATGCCTGGACTGAAAACAGGGAGCAGGCTTGGCTGATGGATTGAGTCTTTACTGCATTTTAATTTGAAATTAGTATTGAGAATCACCGGAAGGAACCATCAGTGGATAGAGAAGGATGGCAAAGGAAAGTATATGCAAATAAGGTGTTGATCAATAGTCTGAATCCACTTCAGAAAATAAGGATTGGCTGCTTTAGGATAATGTGATAAGCTGAGATATATATCTGAAAAAAGTGAAGAGAGACAGAAGGTATGTAGTATTTTGGAGACCCAAATTGATATTTAGTTGTATTTCTAGGCATGCATGGTGCTTGATACACAGACCAAAGCCACCCTCTTGTGGTGAGTGTCCGTATTTAACATATCTGAGGATAGAGGTGAGGAAAATACAAACATGGTATTTGCTTAAAGGTGGTAAATTCCAGTCCTTATCATGAGAAGTTATATTGGAACAAAAAGTTCAGAAGTGTGATATATTAAAACTGCATTGTAGTGTTTTTCCACTAATAAAAAGAAAATATGGTAAGTTTTAGGATATTTCTAGTGGGATTAGAGAGAGCAACAAGAAATTCAACTGGAAATATTTCATAGCAATCTACTTGCAAGGATTGGCTAGTATTGTTGCAATTTTGTCATATAATTTTTTCTCCTCTTAAGATGATTTTCCTAGTTTTCTGGTCCAACACAGGATTTCTCCTTCTCAGCTTGAACATATGATTGAGAAGTATAGCTGGAAGGGGACTACAAAGTGTTCTCGTTACTTCCCCCTCCCCACACCCACACACCAGTTTCCTAAATATTAATATTGCTGGTTTATTAAAGTTCAGCCAGAACCTTTTCTATTCTTGTCGTATTTATAATTGACATTGCTTTGAATTGGGCCACACATGTCCTCTTTCAAACTGTCAGTTTAATAAATGGACTGCCTTCAGTTTCATCTGTGTGATTTGGTTGCAGAATCACTGTGAAAGAAATGGGTCCAAGGATCTTGAGGGGTTTTTGTTTTTTTTTGGCCTTGGTAAAAGTGCTATTTAGTTTTTAGTTCATGAAGTTTGGTTAATACTCTTGGCTTAGTGAGAAGAAGAACTATTTGGCAGGAGAAGCAGTTCACCTTGGGAAAGAAAAGCAGAAATAGGAGAGAAATGGGGAGAGCTGCAGACTGACTGGGGGTGGCTATTTTTCCTCTCTGATCCACATCAGGCTTCCTATTATGTTTTGCATGGATTGACACTTGCATGAATGAAGGAGCGCCTGACCTGGGATTGCATGAATCAGATACTGATGGTGATGGGGACATTGGCATGGAGGTGGAGTGGGGAACAATAGTCCTTAAATATCTGTTCCATCCCCCAAAACAGCCTTGTAAAACTCAGTCTTAAACTATACTTCCACAATTCTCAGCTTATTGGTGGAAGATGATAGGAGTGTCATCCAATATATTTAATGCATAAGAAGTGGGAGAAGCTGCTTTGGGTACTCTGCTCATAACAAAAGTTTGAGGTAATCCTATAACGTTAACTATATCCCACTTGGACCCCCCACCCAAGATCTCTTGCTTCCTTGCAGGGTTTATTGCTGGTATGACATGTTGTATGGGTTGGTCTGTTGCACTGGGGGGGGGGTGGAATATAAATTCATCAGTATCACAGTTTGGGAGGCTGGAAGGAAGGAGACATTTGAGGAATGAAGATGAGGAAAACACCTTCAATTTTTGTCAAAGACAGAATAATCACTTTAGTTTCTTAGGTCTGTAACAGTTCTGGAATCACAAATAACTTTTCTTGCTTCCCCAATCACATGAGTGCCAGGCATTTGGAATGTTGTTTTGGTTGCAAAATTTGAGTTCTTTCGTCATTGGTTTATTTTTATCATCTGTTGAGAAAGGTGATACAAGGAATGAAAAAAGTAGCAGAGGGAACTTAATGGAAGGATAAGGAAAATGGAGGCCCTCTGCCCTGCAGAAAATCCCCTTTCCCTGGCAGCTTCTACATTCCCTCTAGTTCTACATGTGGTATTCTTGGTGTGCAGTAAACTTTCTTTAAAACAAGCAAACAACACTGACATGTAGTATTTCCAGAAGAAATGCAGGCTAACACAGACTAGGAACGTGAGGCCCACTTGCCTCGGAGAATGTGCTGCAAGGGAGAGTGAAATGAAGGTGCTCTTCTTTGTGATATTTCCAGCCTCCCTTTAAGTTCTGACAGGAGCTACATGATCTAATGGAGTTCTTCAACGATGATGGTAATTGGATCTCTGCACAAAAGTTGTCCCGGATGGTAAGAAGAAATTGCATGTTAAGCTAGTTTGCATTACCAACCATAGCATGTGGCACGAAGACTGAAGGCAGTCAGGCCAAGATGTACAGCTGAAGTTATCTGCTAACCCCTGCTCCTCCTCTCTCTTTCCTTTTCTCTCTTCGGCTTGCAAAGGAACATTCGCAGAGGAAGGTACGACCCAGCTCAGCAGAGCATGTAACAGCTTCCCTGAGCACATCTCTCCATCACCTACCGCCTTCATCCCATCCTCCTCACCGCCTTCTCCCCACTCTTGCTGCTTGCAATGATCATTGGTGCAGAAGGCCCAGAACTCTCGTGGAGGCCTGTCTCAACGGAGAGAATTTCCTCTGTGCCATCAGTTCTCTCCACACATCCATCAGTATCCACCTCATTCTCCATTTCTTCAGTTGCTATCGTGAGGAGATATCTAGTGAATAAGTAAATGGCAGCAGGTGTTCTATCCAGGCATCTAATGAACCTCTGGTTCTGCTCAGTGGATGATAGGGCTGGGAATTAATTTTTCTCCAGTTTAAGGCCCAAGTAACAATCCTTTATTTCATGTTATGGTAAAGTCAACACAGGATTTTACTATATCATTTTCACAGTGGGACGTTTTTTGCAGATGGAAACAGTTTGCAGTGAACTGTGTTGATTTTGAAATGCAAAAGACCTCAACACATCTCTGCAAGGACCTCTCCACCTACACATGTATACAATATAATATACACTTACATTGCCAAGGAGAGGGTATATTTTAATTGGGCCTACACACATTCTGTTACAGAAGAAGGTAGGCACAATGCTGAATAATAAGAATCAAGCTATATTATAAAACAGCTTTCTAAAACTTAAGGAGTGTATTCATTTTAACTCTTAGAATTCCCAGCCAGCTTTGGAATCTATAGTTCAAAGATACCTGGAGTTCACCATGTTGGGGAACCCTAAGAGTTGCTGCAGTTCTGAGGTATAATTAAGACTCCCAGGAATCTGAAAGGAATCTAAAAGAAGATACACTTGATTGAATCTGCTTCTAAGTTGAAATAGATGCACAAAGCCTGGTGTAAATGCTAAAACTTCTTGGAGTGCATACATAGACTCACAAATGTTTGGTTACATTTCCTGTGTTCTTTAAAGTTCCAAAATACATGTTTATATGGTGGCATTTAGAAATTAGGGATTCCCCACCGCTAATGAAGCACATGCTGTTCATTTGCAATTTTAAAAGGAAAAGTGGCCAGCAAAAAAAGAATTAAACAGCATAATTAATTCTATGATTATGAAAATAATAACAATAATGATACTTTTGCATAGTTTTAGTCTAAGTTCTGTAGAATAGAAAAGGCCCATTTAACAATTGTATGACACTAATAGGGTAGGGCTTTGGTTTATGAACATTCACTGGCTGCAGTTCACCCAGTTTATGAGGTGGGGACCAAAATATCCATATTCTTCATGTTGAAACAGTGCATATAAAAGCCTACTTAAGAAGAGAAAAATATCACTTGACTCATCAGAAGATTGACTAGAATCGTTTTGATGTGTCTACATGTAGGGTGATTATATCCTTATCATGCTAATGAATAAATGGAGATCGTGTATCTTGCCTTATGAAGATTCTCCTTTCTGAAGAACTTGGGGAAGATGGTCTGCCCCAGTATATGCTATACGACACACACCCATGCTTTTCTGCTGCTCTGTGTAATGTGCATTACTTTCTTGAATGTCATTTGGTTGTTTGCTTGCTTGGCATTGTTCCCATTCCATGGTGTCATTCTTCTTTGAAAGCTTAAAAGAGCCAGAATATTGGGGATGGCAAAAGAGATTGTCAACTACATTTAACTGATTTAAACATTAGTGACTTATATAATGAAAAGGTTTGTATTACTGGCATACTACCAAGTCAGTTTTCTGGAGGAAAAAACATCTAAAAAGCATTTCTTTTTCTATATTGGAATAATATAACTTCTGTTTCCATTGTTAGTCATGGATTGTATTGTACAGTAGATAAGTGCCTTTCAGTATGAACTAAATCTTCCCAACATAATAAAAGTATTCATGTATTAAAGGTAGATCTTCCAAGGGTTCTTTTTAGGAAACAAATAGATTTATTTTTAAAGAAGAAATAGTCATATGGCACATATTTGATTTTCCCCCAATATGTATTAAAAGGACACAGTCCTATGAAATACAGGACCTAAGACATTCAGATATTTAAATAAACCTTTTTAACTTTTGTGTTGGAAAAGATTAAACATTAATTATTCCTTTATTTTTTATAAGTTAACAAGTTTTCACTGTATAAGATCCTTCAACTTCTCCCAAAGTATATTTCAAATATTAATTCTATAATTGATATTACCAGTAACTCAAAATTCATTCTTCTGCCAGAAAGTAGTAAGATTCAATTATAAAGAGATTTATGTTAGTTATATTGGGAGATATGGAATCAATAAATAAAAATCTGGAACAAAGGCTTGGATAATTTTATATGAAGTATATTTAAATGTTAGTTTCAGAAAGTTTTTTTTTTTAAAAAAATGAGCCAATTCATTCCTAAATTTATCACCAGTGGTAACCGGGTGGTGGAACATCAACTTAGTAATGTCTGTGGAATAAAATAATAATAATGAAAAGTGTGATAACCATAAACTGAGTTCTTTATATCCTGAAAAATATTTGGATTTTTGAAGCAAATTTGAGTTAAAAATAATTGAATATTTCTATATTATTTACAACACACAGTAGCTTTTGTTAATCTGTATAAACAGAGCAAATAACCTGGTGCAAATTTGCTTTGTTTTTTCTGACATGGCTGCACTTAATCAGTGAAGATTTTGACGTAACAATCAGAAAGGCTCAGAAAAAAGAAAATAAAAATCAGGGATAAAACCAGTTAGGCATACCATCTGACAAGGAATTATACTTATTAAAATCCCCCCCTTTCAAATTGTGTGAGGCTGAATTCCAGCAAGGAAATGTTGTTAAAATTTGATGGTGCAGTAGAGATAGAGCCCCTAAAATCCAGGCGAGAGCAAAATGCAGCCTGTGTGCACCCTTGCTTTCGTTTAGAAATGGACATTCAACTCAAAAGATGTGAGAACAGATTACTACCTGGCCTTCATATTTTTTTTAAAAAATCTTACAGTTCATGGGGTTTCCATTACGTTTATTTATTTTTGAAACTTTACAGTTTCTAGAAACTTAAAGTTATGAAATGGCTGCTATATGTCTGACCTAATATCAGTGGTAGGAAGAGAAAACATGTTCTTTCAAAATATAAAACATGCAGTGTCTATTTTGCTCTTACATTGGGAAAACAGTATGTTAACTATCACTCACCACCTTGGTATTCATAATAAAAGACCACTTTCATTGGGTTGGGTTGTTATAAAGCAGTGGCATAATCTTGAGGAGGATAACAACCAAGCATCTAATGATGCCATACAACTGCCATGGGTACAATGTTCCAAAACACATTTTTTCATTATCTGTGGCTGTGCTTTTTTACCCTGGAAACTTTTAAGATGCATGGACTCCAATTTCCAGAATTCACTAGCCAATCATGTTAAAAAAAACACCAATTTACATCACCAATTCCAGGTTTTGCTTCTTCTGGATTTAGTGAGCTCACAAGATAATGAGAAATGAAGTATTCATCTGGCTCTTTTAACCACACTAGAGAATCATCACAACAACCTCATCCTCCCCCATCTCCCCTCCCACACCATCTTGTATTCCTCTTGGTACTCTGACCTTAAACAACCCCCTTGCTTCTGTGTTACAGGTCTGGAGGGGCATAGCCCCAAATCATAACTTGATCTTTGTGCTTCTGGGTCAGTATTCTCACCATAGGGTGGAAAAGAAGGTAAACAGCACCTTCTTCCTTTTTCTTTTCCTGGCCAGCAAATAACCAACACCCTAATCTACCAAGTCTTCCATTGCTTCCTGGATAGACAAGGGCAGGAATGAAGCCCTCCTTTGAAGGGGTACCACATTGCTCTGCTTCATTGTATGGGAAAAGATCTTCATGAAGGACCTCCAACTCTTTTATATCTTGCCAGATGCACTTTTTCCTCTCCTTCTAACATTGTCTGGAAAAAAGAGAGCCCCAAAACAGCATTTTTTCTACCTGTGCAGGTCTACATATGTGCCTCACTTTACTAATCCCACCAAGGACTGTACCATCTTGGAACCACCAAAATACTACATGCAGCTCAGGGGTATAACAACACTCTTCAACTTCTGGAAGATGCTACTTGGAAGACATACAAGCCTGTTCCTTTCCATGAAAGTAGTTTGAGCAAAAGTGGATATTTGGGATATTTAGATTCTGCTAAAATTGGTTCCAAATCAGGGAATTGTGTGTTCATAGTTAAGGCTTATAAAATTATTGGGATGAAGAAATGACATGTATTCATCAATTATATCCATGCCCTTTATTTCCATATTTTTGTTTGTAAAAGTTTGTGAGTTAAGCCTTTCTATCATGCTGACTGCTCTAGCCTAAATGCAAGAGCTTGCGCCATTCTAGATTTAAGGGAAAGTAACAGAGACAAGATGATAGCATGCTAAAGTAGCACTCTAAATAGACCAGACTTATTACCTTTGCCCTCTCCTCCTACTTCCAAAGGTTATATTTTCTGTTTTGAATGTAATGGCTAATAGTGCCACAGTGGCAAACCAATGTTGGAAATAGTGACAGCTCATAACAAAATGCAGCAAGTGGCTTCTTGGTCGGGGAGTGAGGGCAGATCTCATATCACAAGTTTCGTAAGTGTATCAGAGTCCTGTCAAAAGTGAGAATGGACACTTTTGATTTATTTATGGTTGATCTCACCCTTATTTTATTTCTTTCATTTGAAACTTTTTTTTCATCAGCACAAATGGAGGGGAATTAGGCCAGCTTCTAAGTTCCAAAACTGGAATAATAATACACCATCCTTAGAAGTGGAGTCACCAGTCAACCAGAAGCCAATCATTCATAAAACTGTGATTTTTAAAGACTCCTCCTCCTCCTCCTCCTCCTCCTCTCACATCCCTATTCTCTACGCCTGTAGCGTACTAGGAAATTTCTGTAGTTGAGCAAGTGCTTCTAAATTTATTTTCAGTCTTTCAGAACAATTAGATTTATATGGGAACTAATTCTATGCTGAACCAAACATGAAAGAATTCAGAGAGTGGCATAAGAAGAAAAGTTAATAGCAATGGGTAAATTTTAAAAAAGGAGTGGGAAGTGTTGTGTGTGATGAGATAAAATTTCTTCAATAATGTTTCAGTACAATAAGGAAATTGGCTAGGAGGCCATACTACAATAGCACAGCAGGTGTTTGCTGGCAGGTATTTTGTTTTAAAGAATTTGAGGGTCAAGGAAAACCAGATGGATTATAAGAATTTTGTTGTCCCTTTTTACCTTTGTGGTAGAAAGCCCGCCATATTAAATGGATGGTCCATTTCATGGACCAGCTAGTCAACATAAAACCAGCCCATCTCAGAAGGTGCTGAGTCTTTTTGAAGTAGAGATTTTAAACCAAAAATTTGAAGTCCCCTTTGGATCATAGTGGATCTCCTATAGTAGCAGAGGATTGAATGATATTTCATCTCTTGGATCAAAAGTTTTTCTCCCTAAATAAAAGCTATCCCACCATCATCATGGTAGGTTGCAGGAAAATTCTCAGTAAGCAGATTCTACAGAGAGAAGAGTTACATATCCACTTAGCTACACACAATAAACTAGGATTAAACTCAGATTATTTAACTTCAGAGAGAGAAGCTCTCAAGAGAGCAGTGCTCAAACTGTCACATCTATTTTGACCTTCAGCATTTCTAAAAACAACTATAGCTTGGATTCTTCCAGACACACACATACCCTCCCCCAGCACACTTCTATGTGGAATAGCTTCTAGAACTACACATTGCTGCTTTTTTGTGCCTTTTCAAAATGTTATGTTTGAAGTGACTGTGTTCTCTTTCCCCAGTGCAACCGCAGCAGAATTTCTAATTTCAATGAGTACTGTCAATTGTCTCCTTGAGTTTGCCTTCTTCCAGTGAAGACACATGTCCACATTGATAATTCAAACAGTAATACAAGAGGGGGGGATTCTTTGAAAATTTTATCCTTTAAGTTTCTCAAGAGTAGGTGAAAAGTTGCAATAAAGTGAGTCTCAGTTCTCAGAAAATTGGGAAATGTCTTAAAATTTTCTCAACATACCACTTGAATAGATGTAGGTACAGAACTGCTCACAGAGTAATTGATAAGCTCTTGGAAATTTGATTGATTATGACTATCATGCTTGGTCCAAAATGTTTCCTGAGGAAAATTGGAAAGTTTTATGCAAATTACCATTTGCAAGCATTGAGCTTCCCTGAAAATGTGGATTGGAGCCTTATTTAAGCATCTGATAATTCTCCAATCCAATTCTGCAGGGAAATTATCTGCAAGCTTCTCATTTGGCAGGATCCCTAATATGATAGCTATTTACTTATTTATTTAAAACATGTATATAGCTGCCCATCTTGAGTATATGAGGACAGGCAACTATTCTGTTCCCTACCATGGCAATATAAGAAGGCCAACTTATGCCATAGGCTATGCCAGATGAGAAGCTTGTAGTTTCTTTTCTTTTGCTGGGAACAGGGCAAGGGATTGTGTTTTGATAGGAAACTGAGGTCCTTCTTAATGATAATTGATTAAAGCAGGGGTCTTCAAACTTGGCCCTTTTATGACTTGTGGACTTCAACTCCCAGAATTCCTCAGCCACCGTGCCTGGCTGAGGAATTCTGGGAGTTGAAGTTCACAAGGCATAAAAGGGCCAAGTTTGAAGACTCCTGGACTAAAATGTATTACTTTATCAGTTGGCCAAGAAGGAATAATAACTGACAACGGTCTTCTTTAAACACTGCAAAGAACTGAAAGTGCCCAATATCATCATATCTTGGTATTCTAAAATGTTAGAATTTGTTAAGACCAGTTTTATATTAATTTGTGAGATCATATTATTTTGAATTAGCTGATATTGTTGATATTAAGTGTCTTTAATGTCTCCCAGATGTGTGAGATTATAATTCCTTACGCCAAAGGCATTTTGGGCAAGCAGGAAAATGTAAGCACAGCTGTGCCATGTAACACTTTTCCATGATTCCCCATTTATAAAACTAAAGAGAAAGTGGTAGGCTTAAATCTTCAGAGTGAAAATTACAGCCTTATTAAGTATAAATTAGTATCTTAGCATGGCTAATAATCAGTTGCAGAGGCTTCTCTGCAAACATCCCTCTCCAATATTTGCAGACAAAGTGCCAAACAGTTCTTCTACCACTCCCCCCCCCCTACTTTAAATCTTCTGGCTGCATATGAAAGTTTGTGTGTGGGGGTCTCAAATACACGAAACCATAAATCTTTTCTCTCCCAAGCTACAGCCAGAAAACCCAGTTCTCCTGTTTTTAATAAGGAAAGAAAAAATGGAGAAATAATGGCATATTAACATGCAATGTATAACATTTTTACTTTCCACTTGATAATAAAAAGTGAAATTCTAGGCTGGTCAAGGGGTAGGATTGGGGAATGGAATTCATTCACTTCAGATCTGCATCTCCCAACTCTGAATACAAAATGTTATGCAGTGATGCAACGAAATCTTGGGTGAAACAGGAAAAAAATCTCTAGCTATTAGAAATAAGAAGAACAAACAACAGCGGAAAAAATAGGAAGTGAATCAAATCAAAATTTCTCATCCTGACTATAATGTTCATTATATTATCTTAACTGTACCATTTCACATTACTGGTGGTTATTCATAGGAGTGAAAACTTTTCTAGAAATAATCTTTGTTAATGAGGAACTCACAGGTTCAAGATACAACTGTTCTACTCTTTGGTGTTGCCACTGTTCTGCTGTAATTCTTTAGAGTCTTGATTCATATGAATCCCTCTTAATATGATGCTGGAAAATTTGATAATAGACATGTTTTAGGGGAATTTTAAAAGCAGAGGAAAGGAATGGTGCAAATTCAAGAATTTGAGCAAGACAGTCTTTTTTGTTTTAAGTTGCTCTTTTAAAATGTTTTTCTGTGTAAAGAAATTTACAAGTCCCCATAAGTATTTGTATGTTTTTTGAGATGGGGCAACTATACATTTGGGAGACTCCGTACATTAGAATGGAGAAATATGGGAAAAATAAAATATCTCTTTATTCAATGATACTTTACAATTAGAATAAGGATCCCATGAAAATGTAGAAGTTTCAATGATTTCTTATGTTCTCAACTTGCTTGATTCCAAGAGGAGTTACCTTTTGTGTAGAAAACTATCTAATGTATTGCCTATCACGTTCTCCAGTCCTAGGCATATAAAGCCTTTATTGTTCAATCATGTGGTTTCATTACAGAGCATCTTGCCTTTGGCGTGATGAATTATAGCCATCCCTTATTTTTTCCTTTCCTTTTTGTTTTCCTTTCCTTTTTCCCTTCCCTTCCCCTTCCCTTTCTTGTCCTTTCCTTGCAATAGTATAGTGACAGTGCTAGTGTTTTCCACATGAGTATCATTTCATTATATGAAGAAGGTGGACATTAATTAATTAACTTTCTATCTTTTATTATTCTTACAAATAACTCAAGGTGAAGAACATATTCCTAAGGGAGACTAAAGTTCAAACCCTCAGTCTTAAATATATGATACAAGGTTCAATTAATAAGAAATAAGGAATTATAATTTAGTAATATATTTCTGTCAGCAAAACAGACACAATCATTTTCCTGTCTGAGAATAGCTGCCAGGGCTTCTCTGCAAATGGAAAGGGGATGGGAAACTCTCACTCAGTAGACAGAAATCCACTTGCACAATGTTGGATTCATTCATTCATTCATAGCCAATAGCTGGTCATAGTGAGCAGATTCTTTTAAACATTCTTTTCAGACAAAAAACAAAGCAATGTATTTCATTTCATGCTTTCTCAACCATTTGTCCGAACTGTTCTTTCCATTCCCCCTTCTTTTTATGTGAGCTCCATAGTATACTATTAAGTCTCCTGGTCAGGTAAGAACCAAATGGATTACACTGCAACCTTTCTTGCCTTCTTATTTTTGTTGCAAGTCTTTTCTTCCTCCCATATCCTTAAAGTTACAGCTAGAGAAATGATTTAGGGATTTGTAGTTTCCTTTGGCTACAGTGAGGACAGGCAGCTGGCAAACTGACATTTGAAACAGGTAAGGTGATTTTCTTATGGCACCAGAGATAGTTTATTTCAGAAAAAATCAAGTTTTAACATTATCCAGAAAGTTTGGTTACTTTAGCCCCATTTGAATGATGTAGCTTAAGGGTGACAGTAGCTGCCTTTGCAGTATGTGCACATACTGCTGTGAATGCAATTGTATGCCTGTGTTTGTTGTCAGTGTGAGTGAATGTGTACAAACCTCTGTGCTCTTAGTGCAATGGGCAACCAGAATCTTTTCTTTTTCTTTTAACATTCACACAGTAGCAAGGATCAAGGCTCCTAAGACTTCAAGGCAAATCAGAGAAGAGGAGCGAGGCAACATTGCAACAAAGAGCACAACTACAGAAGAAGCTTACCTTATAACATGCTCACTTTGGACTCAGCCATCTCCTAGTACTCCAGTTTGTGGGCACCTAGAACTCAGAATGCTATTGCTCATGGATTGTGTATATATATATAGGCTTGTCTATTTATTGTAACGTGTCCAAAGACTAATTCAAATGCCACTTCTGGGCATTCTTGTAGAAATATATTGTACTTTCACTGCACATGCTTCATGCTGAAGGCTGAGCAAGGGATGTGCCAATAAGGAACAATTCTTGGTCTTTGGTTTGGGCAAATGGCAATAGCTGAATGCTAGGCCTTCTTCTTTTGTGTTTCTTGCAAATCCGCACACCTACTTACCTACCAATATTTATTAAAATGAAAAGACTAATTTACATTTTCTCCTGACCCTGGAATCCTGGTAATCAGTACAATAAGGACCAATATTTTCAAATCTGAATTCCTACAAAATTCTGTAAATCCTAGTATATACTATAAGAAAAAAAAACAGTAAAACAAATCCAACTGCCATGTCTTGAGAATAAACAATAAAGATTCTTCTCCTTTGTTTGGGACTTATTGTCACTGTCTCACAACTGTTGTCTTGCAAGGCATAAAATACTTTATCCTACTCCATTGGTGAGTTGAAAGACTATCACTTGTCTTTCAGTACATGGTGTTTCTGTAAATGTTATTGTGCTTATTTGCCAATCCTATTTGGTTTCCATTGCTTCTGTTTTGGCTTACTGCCTAAAGATGATGTCCTGATTTTGCAATTGTAAGACATGTTAGAGAGCCAGAGTGCACTGGAATAGAAGCTGGGAGACCATAGGTTCTGGGCCTGACTTAGGGACAAGGCCAGCTTGGTGACCTAGGGCTAGTCAAATTTTACCACCCAAGCTACAAATATTTTCTATCATTCCAGTCAATCTCTCTCAGCCCTGGGAAAGAAAAGGGCAAACCATTTCTGAAATCTTGCCAAGAAAAATGTAGAGACTTGTCCAGGCAATTACCTGGAGTCAATACTGAATCAAAGACATGTGTGCACACACACACATAACCAAGCCCAAAGAAACATTTTATCTTGTAGAATCTCAATTTAAGTCTATTTTAGAGCCAGTTTGGTATAGAGCAGGGGTGTCAAACTCAATTTCATTGAGGGCTGCATCAGCATTGCGGTTGCCCTCAGGGGGCCGGGTGGGTGTGGCCAGGGTGGGTGCAGCCTACTGGGTAGATGTGGATGGAGTGGGTGTGGCCTACTGGGTGGTTGTGGCCAGCTCTATATCGTTCGCGTCAAGGGTGACTGTGGGGGCCTGGGTAGGAGTGTGATAGATCTGAGGGTCTCTGGTAAAAGGGGTGGGGCTGGGGCAAGTGCCAAGGCATGGTCCACTGGAGGAGCCTCACTGTCCCTCTGAGGCCATGCGGGGGGGGGAGCTTATGGAGCTAAGACTGAATGCGTTTCAGTATAGAGGGCCACCACAAAATTGTACATTGGCTCCCGGCCGGCTTGTGCCAGGGCCAAGGCAGAGGGGGCCGTTCCCTCACTGTTTCCAGGATGGCTTCATGGGCCACATGAAACCACTTCACAGGCTGCATCCGGCCCCCGGGCCTTGTGTTTGACATGTCTGGTGTAGAGGTTACAGCAGGGAATTTTAGTTCCGCCTTAGATATGAAATCAGTTGAGCCAGACTTTGGTCCAGTCATGCTCTCTCAGTCCTAGGAAGAAGAAAGTCTTCAAAGACTTAAAGACTTCTGTAGGGACTTGTCCAGGCTGTCTCCAGAAATCAACAATGACTCAAAGGTGCACATACAAACACACACAGATAAAAACAGATACATAGACTCACAAACTGGCTAAGGAAAGTTTAAACTCTCTAGCTTTGGTACATTCTCCTTTTCTAATCAAGTGATAAATAAGTAATAAAATACCCACCAGTCAGTACAATAATACAGGAATGGGTTTGGAAGATGGTGTTTTGACAGACAGCCCAGCCACATCTCTCGCTTTAGCATGCATGTCAAAGCAACATAACACACCTGTCAAAGCTCACCAGTTCCATGTGTTCACTGAACAGTTGTTCAGCAGAAATCAAAAGGGTAAATTTGGACAGGTGCCCATTTCTGTTTTATTACACATAGGTCCAGTTATCAACTTTACAAATCTGCTGGACAGCTGTTCAGGTGCTAGAATTTAGAATCT